AAGATCGGTTTATTGTATTATAAGAAGAATACTTAAAATACTTTTTTCTTCAGATATCTGGAGTTTTAACATCAGATTTCTATGTTATAAAGCTTAATGAAAAGAATCGGTTGATAAATTAGTTTTTTATATGGACAACTTTTTTATTATGCCAGATATCTTGATCAAACTCCTCCTCTCCCGAACTTAGCTGACAAAACGTCTCAAATCTGATTGATCGGAAATAAAACTCCCTTCTAAGCCATATTTCTGGAAGAGCATTAAATAGTCGGCGTGTCGTAGAAGTTCTCTCTTTTTTTGTTTGATTTTCGGGGGCAACAATAAATACGAATAAAAAACTTTGTGATTAGCATGTTTCGTGCGTGTGGACAATTCCATTCTTTTTCTTTCTCTTGGTCAGCTTCTCCGGCTCCTCCTGCTCAACCTCCATCTCCGCCTCCATCTCCGCCTCCGCCTCCTTGAGCTCCACACCAAGTGTAAAATGTTTATTAACGGGAATTGAAAAGTGTTTCACATTCGAATAACTGAGGTAGACAAAGGCTGGCCAGACGAAGAGCAGTTTGATAAAGCTAAATGCAGAAAGAACAAGTATCTGCCGTACGCCGACAATTAAATACCCTTCTACTTTGGATTTGAATGAGAAACAAAACATTTTTCAGCTCCCAAAGGAATTGTTCCTCTAAAAGGTATACAAAATATGATTTCGTTCCGATCTACATCGGATTTTATTTAAAATAACTTAAGAACTGAGAGATTTATTTGGAATATTAGTGTAAGGGCGAGGAGAGGCACTAAAAGTTAGGAGATGATGGCATATCAAATGAAAATATTGATACCCCTCTTCTTCCCACATCCATCTGATTTGTCCTATAAAGTGTATCATAAAGTGTGCTGAAAACATATTCAACAGTCAAGAGTGGAAGACAAAGTAATTATCCAAATATTTTCGTCGAATACCCCATACAGTCTGTAGGAACTCGGGATCTATAAAAGCTAGCGCCTGCAAATTTGGAATGTGGCTTCTCTTTCAACTATCCAAAGTTGATGCTATATGTAACCCATTGTCAGGGTCAAGGACTAGAGGGCAACTCGTAGTCGCGCCATCTGGACTCGACCATTAATAGCTCTTAATATAATTAAAGCATAAATCAAGCGCTTAAATAGCGCTATAAAATTGAGTCATTCGAAGTCAAGGCCAGGCTGAAATGTTCTCAGCTCAAATTTATTGTGCTCGATTCTCTTTTGTCTATCCGAGTGGAATATACTTTAATATCAAGGTTGTGCATATTCATTATAGTTTATTCAACCAGCTGACAAGCTTTCGCTTACAATTTGTTCCCGATGTGCCTTACGAGGGTTTCTCGTATAATCGCAGATCTATCAAAAGGAATGGAACCCTTAACTTGTTGAAATATATTTTCTAAAATAATAGACCAACTAGTTGAATACTCTTTTTCGTGAGATCATGAGTCTTTGGGCTTGGCTCTGTATCAAACTATTTCAACTGTAATCCTTCGATTTCTTGAGATCGATATATATATTTCTAATTCGAATTCATCCTAACCTAACTATTTCCGATATCCCAATTTCTTGAGATCCATGAAACACAAAGGATTCTTTATATATATATATATACATATATTTATTCTTCTACTTAACTAATTTTATCATTTCAATTTGAATAACTGAGAAAGTAACAACTTATCAACTTTTTTCTCTACATCAGGAGTCTTTGGGTTCCTAACCTATCCTAACTATTCCAAGGCGTTTGCAATCCTTCAATTTCTGGTCGTCTTTCGCTAAGTTTTCAAAGCCATTTTTATGTTCTTATAAAAAGAAATGGTTTTTTTTTTGAGATTCTGATTGTTTTCTCGCTAGGCATAAACCTATATATCAGGAAGTTGAGACATCAGATTCGGCTGATCCCAAACTAACTTGTTCCCAATGTAACTCAAATTTCTAGATTTTTTATCAGATAAACCCCTTGGGTTTTCTAGGGGAGCATAGCCTCCATCTGCCTCCACCTCGCCGTATCAAACCTATTCAATCTAACATATTATTATAACAAACCTTTTGCAATCCTTCAATCTCTTGACGTTTTAATAAGCCTTCGCTTAGTTATCTCAGCTATTCTAATTATCTTGTTAAGAAAAGAGTGCAATATTCTATTCGATTAGTTTCCTTCTTGGAGAGCACAGCCTCCAGCTCGAACAGCTGCCCGCTTTCTAATCCTTCAATTACTGAACTATTTCCTTGAATCCTTTATCGATTGTTCTATATTCATTTGTTCAACAACCAGCTTTTTATATGGCATTCAGTTTCTTTTCACTTGATATCAGAAAATGCAATATAACTTTTAAGGTTGTTCACCTTTTGGAACCCTTGCGTAAGCTTCGACTCTGTCTTAATTTTAGTTTTAGTTGGAAATAATTTGCAATTATCTTCGAACGAATAATTGTATTGACAATTAGTTCCTGGCGATTATGATAAATGTGCAATTCGCTGGAATAATTTGTTGCATATTGAATCACATTGCGTATACGTAATGTATTGCGAAATTGTGTATACGAGTGAGTGTGTGCGAGTGTGTGTGTGTGTTGAGTTAAAAAATGTAAGAACACGCTATCGAAATGACAACTGATTGCCTTTGGACAGGACAATTAGATGATGTGACAAATAATTGGAGAGTTCAGTCAACGCCACGTCGCGTTTTTTAGCGCACGTGAACCGAGCAAAGCCTGTTGGAGGGGGGGAGGTGTGTGTGTGTGTGTGTGTGTGTGTGTGTGTGTGTGTGTGTGTGGGGGGGGGGGTGGGTATTTGGCCATACCCAGAAATCGTCGATTGGTCTGTGAATGCGTTCAGCTGCTTGGGTCGGGCCTCCGGAAATTCTCAGCAATAAATAAAATATATGTTACCAAATACTGGCCGCGAACTTGGCCAACAGCCGCCAGCTGCCAAGTCGCCAGCCGCCAGTCACTTGACGCCGCGCAGTGGGAAGAACAACAATGGCATATTAACGAAATGTTTGTATAGAGTATCAAAAGTTCGAGTATTGAAAGTCGTGTGCTACGCAGGCTGCTGCTGCTGCTGCTGCTGATCGGCAGACAACCGGAAGACTTTTTGCGTGGAATGCCGCTTGGCATAGCTGATCAGCCGGACAGTTCGACAGTTCGTAGCAATTGAATTTGAATATAAGCAAACATTGTGAAGATCATTGAATCAAAATGCGACACAACTTTGAGCTGAGCTGGCGACTCCAGCTGTTCGCCTCGATGCTGTTCTGCGCCCTGCTCGGCTATCTGAGCTCCTCGGTGGCCCTGGCCAAGCCCACATTGTCGTTCAGCCTGCCGCACGGACTGCAAGGCTTTCCCTCCTTTCAGTCCTTTACGCAGCAGATCATCGAGCAGCGCAGCCTGCGTCAAATGAAAACCTACAGGTGAGTCCATGCAGCAACAATCGCTGAGATTTGTATACAGCCGGCGTTCCGCCCATTGGCCTGGCCGATAGTTTCACCAGCGCTGGCCATTGCCATGGACGTCACGTCGCATCCATAATTGTAATGCCTCTCGGCTGGCCATGTGCCCATAAATGCGTGCACATAAATCGCATTACGCATCTAACACAACTATCTCTATCCCCCTCTCTCTCCCTCTCTGTCTCTCTTGCAGCGGCAAGCGCATTAGCAACGATTCGCTGATCATGATATACTATCACGATCAGACCATTGCCGTCACGGAGCTGGGTCCACAGAAGCTGCTGCTCGGCTGTGAGCTGATTGAAATTTAGTGAGTATTATCAGAAGCAAACTAACGAATAGCTACACTCGTTACTCGTTACTCATAATCATTACACTCGTTACTGATTCCACACTTAACTCTTCACACTCGTTACTTACTACACTTGCTACTCATTTTACTCGTTATTCGTTACTAGTTACTCATTCACACGTTCATCGCTACATTTACTAATCCTTCTCGTTACTCATTATGCTCTTTACTCGATACACTTACTACTCATTACACTTTCTACTCATTACACTCATTATACTCGAATGAGTACTATGATTATTAATCTCTTTACTCTTTACATGCACATCTAATTATACTCGTTCATTTATATGCTTGGTGTTTTTTACACTCGTTACTCGCTACGCTTTTAACTAGTTTCTTATTCACTTGTTACACTTGCTACTCGTTACACTCTTTACTCGTTACTCATTGCACTCATTAATTTTCTTACTCTTTACACTCGTTACCTATTACATACGTACTTATTGTCCTTTTATAGCAACGACAAGGAAGGCAAAATGCTGCTCAATGGCCTCGCCAAATACAATCGACCTCTGGAAATCAAATTTGAGGAAATGCTCAAACTGATGGATCAATGCGAGCACGTCGACAAGCTCAGCTATGCGTCCAAGCTCAGATACAAGTCCAGCAATGAGGGCTCGGAACGTAGCAGTGGCACAAGCGAGTCTGAGGCCAGCGGTGCGGGCAACGACAGTTTGGGCGGCTCAGCTAATCAGGATGGTGTTTCGCTCAAGCTGGCAGCGAATATCTTTCCGCGCAGCCCCTTCTCGCTGCTAAGCGGCATTATACCAGGTAAGATGCTCTAGATTACCCTACCTTTTTGTAAAGACTTGGACGCTCCCTGGTTAAGCATATCGTCAGACTAACAACTCACTAGTCTAGCAACTCGATGCAGTCAACTTTTTCGCTCACTCATTAGTTTGACTACTCGTTAGCTTTGCAATTAGGCTAATAGCTTGTAACAACTTGCTTGTTCGGCTACTCGTCAGCTTATCCACTCATTTCTTCAACTCGCTGGATAACCAACTCGTTGTTAAGGCAGCACCTTACCTTGCTGTCTCTATAATATTTAACAGACGCTAGAAAGTCATATATATGATTGGCTGACTCGCTAGTTTGGCCACTCGTTAGTTCGCCAACTCGCTAGTTTGTCAACTCGTTGCTTTTAAAACTTGTTAGTAAGGCAACTCGTTAGCCTGCCAATCGCAATTTCAACATCTCTCTGGCTTAACAACCCTTTGCTTAGCTTGTTCACTCGCCAAATGCCCTACTCGCTAATTTAAATCTCTCGCTCTCTTTCGACACAGGCACCAAATGGTGTGGCACGGGAGATATTGCCGAAACGTACAGCGATCTGGGCAGCGAGATGGCCATGGATCGCTGCTGTCGCCAGCACGATCTGTGCCCCATCAAGATACGCGCCTATCAAAACAAATACGAGCTAATGAACGACTCGCTGTACACCAAGTAAGTAATTAACGAGTATGCCCAAAAAGGAATGCCTGACTAATTTGCATTGCTTTCAATCAACTATAGATCGCACTGCATTTGCGACGACATGCTGTTCTCGTGCCTGAAGATGACCAACACGTCGGCCTCCCAGCTGATGGGCTCCATATACTTCAACCTGGTGCAGGTGCCCTGCCTAGATGGGCGAAGCAATCAATACAAGTTCCGTGCGGCTAAGGAGGGTTTCTAAGAGCGGCTTTACTGTGTGTGTCTTATATATTATATATATATATTTTTTTTTTGTTGTTGTTGTTTAAGTTTTGTACGTTTGGGGCTTGTACATAAAAGTTGGGCGCTACTTCAATTATTTATTGAACCACTTAGCTATACGAAGGCGTTCGCAAATGCAGCGAATGACGGGCAGTAACACTTCTAGATGGACAAATACGTATCGAACGCCCAGTTTATTAAATACACACACTCATATATATATATATATGTATATATATTTTCATATATATAACTACGTGCGTGTGTATATATGTATTTGTTTGCATGATGTTAGGTTTACATAGTTTAGTAGTAGTAGGCGTTATATTCTTATATATATTATGCATAAGGCAGCAAATGCTGCGCGCTTGTTACAAATACATATCAATGTATATATATATATATATATATATATATATATATATATATAGATATACATATATATATATATATATACGTTATTGGTTACAATTTGTCTTTATGGTTTATAGCTGAAATAATGGCTACATAAAAAAAATCTGTTTTCTAGCTTCATTGACTACACAATTTTTTCGCTTTTCTTTTGATCTTAACGCTAGAATATAAAAAAAAAAAATTTTAATTCCACTTTCATTTTTTTTTTTGTTGTTGTTGTCGTTGTTTCGTCAACAATTGAACACGTTCAATTTGGATTCCACATGCGGAGTTATCAAGCAGTTTCTATATGGTCTCCCGTTGGACATCTCTAGGTACTGGGAAGGGTGTGAGGTGTGTGTATATCATTATTATTTGCGCACACACTTAGAAAATGCTGGCCACATTGGGACCCGGCTGCGAATTGGTCGGTGTCGGCTGCGTGGGACGATCAATGTCCTGATAGCTGCGCTGCTGATTGGTAGGAAACACGGAGCCGGTCTGCAGGCTGCCGCCGCGCGTATTAAACTCCCGATAGAGCAGGGCAACGCTCACCGGACGCAGCACCATGTTGATGATGCAGAACGCAATGGCCCAGCCATCTGTAAGAGGTAAATAACATTAGATACATTTAACGACTAGCTGTGCAGTTCAATATTGAAATGAACTCTGGCCAAGCCAAGCCAAGGAATGTGTACTCACTCATGTAGTCGAAATTAACGATAGTGCTGACTAGATCAAAGAATATGCTACAGACATTGATCACAAGCGCCTGGAAAATGCAGAAAATATATACATGACAATGTTAGGCTAGCCAATGAATATAATGATCAGCTTGTTGATAAGTTCGGAACTGCCTTGCAATAGGTCATGGGCAAGTCGTTGCTTTTCCAGTCAAATCAAATTGCATTCACCTTGAACGCTTGAACTTTAACTAGCCGAGCACGCACACACGCTGGACACACCTTTTTTGGCCCGTTCAAGGTGTGTGCTTTTTTATTACGCTCAATTTTGTGCTAGTCCACTTTGCACTTTCGCCCTTAAAACGCTGTGAAAAACGTATAGTTACGCTCGTTACTCGTTACATGTTTCTCGCCCACTCTAACAGCAACAAAGAAGCTCTTTAATAATTGAAGCAAAGAATTTGACAGATTCTATTTCCCTTTGCACTTGCGAAGTTCATTCGATCTGAATAGCGAGTAGTTATACTCGTTACTCGTTACATTTCTCTCTCGCTCTTCCTCAGAACAAAAAAAGACTACTCATTAATTGAAAGAAGGATTTTGACTAGGCATATTCCACTTTGCACTTTCGAATAACACTCGCTGTGCGCGGCGAGCAGTTATACTCGTTACTCGTTACCTTTCTCTCGCTCTTTCTTAGAGCAGCCAAAAGGCTGCACAGTAATTGAAGCAAAGTTTCGATAAAGGCTTTTACAATTCCCATTTTTATCTCAATTCCCTGATTTGCAGCTCTTCAACAATGATTAGTCACCCTCGTTACTCGTTACATATCTCTCGCCGCTTCTTACAGCAACAATATGAGCAAAAGGCTGCTCAAAAATTATAAAAAATAATTATGCAAAAAGTTAGGCAAGAGCTCTTCCAGTTTACGGTTTTGCTCATGATTTGCTGTAAGCAACGAGTAGCTATAATCGTTACTCGTTATATTTCTCTGTTGTTAATAGTAACATTTCGAAAGGCCATAACTGCTCAATAATTGAAGCGAAAAGCTCAACAAAGACTTTTTACCTATTTTCAGTCTACACAAAGCTTGAATTGTATATTATTTATACATTTTCATAGCCTACCTTTGGGAATACAAGAAATAAATATAAATTAATAGAAAGGCTCGTTAGGCTTTGTTGAGGCAAAAATCATATTTCGTAGAATAAACATTCATTTCAAATGCATTTGGTTAAAAGAATAGAAAATTTGAAAAAATTCTTAGAAATTGTCATCATTTCAAATTTCGGGAATCAGTCGACTTTTTGGTATAGCACAATTAAAGGCCATTCGAGTCGTAAATACGTAATGCCGCCAGTTGGCCTTTTCCTTTTATATATATATATATATATATATATATTTGTTTTGTTGTTGTGGGAGTGCTTCTGGGTCAACGTTTGGCTTCTGCATAGTTGAGCTGATTAAACGGCGTGGCTAATGGTTGTTGGCCCAAGGAGTCGCATACGACGCCACAAAAGGATTTGCTGCCTGGCCCTAGGGGCTGTTTGGGGGGCGGCAGAGTGTGTGGGCACCTTTCGTTTTCATGTTGGACTGACCGCTGGCAGTCAAACAAATGGAATTGTATTTAATTTTCAATACCCTGTAGCCATAGCTAACTGGGCCACAAGCCGGGTAGAACGGTTTGCTGTCAACGTTTGTTACAGGCAGAAGAGCTGCAAACATTTGATATGCAAAAAACTAAAGATCATGTAACAATATATAGACCTGATTCTGGTTATATGCACCTATTTGAGACCTGAATACAAACGAATTATAAGTACGCAGGTAGTTTTCCTTCTCAGACCATAAGTTTACAAGTTTACAGGGTAACTGCTAGTCGGTGCCGCGTGGCTTGTTTTCTTGGGTTTTAGCCTTCTTGGTAGACGTGCGTGGCATTGCGCATCGCGTGCGTTACGACCTAGGATTACGAGCCTTTGCCTGGTCAACTGCTCGGGGGCGGGGGGCGGTTAGGTTCTCGTATTTTGGGTAATGTCAAAGTTCAAATTGATGGCTCAGACCGGGCACGCCAACTGCTCGCGAGCCGTTAACTCTTCCAGTGAAGCGATATGCGATCTGGCGTTAACTAATATTGTAATAAGTATATACACGCCCACAAGAAACCTCAGTGCATATGCCTTATAAGTTGGCATTACGTTATGTTTTCGGGCTGACCAAATGGGTCTATAATTAGCGTGCCTTCACGTGGTTTTGGCCAAAGCCAAGTTAGCTGCTGCCAACTGTTTTGCAATAAGCCGAAGCAATGCTTGGCTTCAAATTGTATTATTATTTACATTTTTTTTTTTTTTGTAAATTTTTTGTGGTTTTCTGTGTGGTTTTTCTTTTTAAAATGCCTTATCCTTAACTTATTCTTGATCCTGAATCATTAGCTCCATTATTTTCGTAACGTTCGTGGGCGTGTCGTAAGTGAATCACAATTCGGAATCAGTTGTCGGAGATGAACTCGTATTGACTAGCTCCAGAACAGAGTTGCCACACTTTTCGGTGCTGGAAAACTACAGTGAATGCTCGTTTGGATGCACGCTCTTGTGCTAAAGCATGTTGATTGCATGAAATGAATACATGCCAAAAAATATTATAAAGAAAAACTATTCGAATTGACCTTGTTTTTAATGGAGGTAATTCATGTGTATTTTTAGAAAGAGTGCATCAAATTTACTATATTTCATTGCTGGAAAATTGATTCAGCTAAATGAATGATTGGCAAATTCGCATATCGATTGAACTTTTGCAAAATACCATTCGAAATTGCATTAGATCTCTATCATTGTTAATAAAAGAAAAGAATAACAAATATGTATTCAGTTTCTTAAACAATATTCTTGAGGCATTCTTAGGAAATCACACACATATAATGAGTGGGATCTAATTTTTCAGGTTTTGTCTTGCTTTGCGCTGAAACTTTTGCCTACAAATTCTTATTTCCATGTTACATAAGCCTTTTTTAAGACTGGAGCGAAGGGAATAAGATACTTTAGTGCTCGCACGCAAATTTGAAACCGGTTCCAAATCCGATTCCAATTTCCCAAAGTTAAACAGGCAATAATTTTCAAGGTATTGAGCTGGTTCAAAGTGGGGATTTGAGCGTCGGACTAACAAGCGAAAAGTCGCCGGTACAAATCCAACAGAAACTTTAAATTTTTTTAAAATATTTTTATTCACAAGGAAAACAGAAAAAGTATAACTAAAATGCATCGACGCGCGGGGGCCTTAAACCGATTGTGTATTTGCCTCGTTTTTTAACCGAGCAACGCCGGGTTATATTTAATTTCTAGTGAACAAGAATGTGGCTAAAGCGCATAACAATGTTATCTCATCATCATTCGCTGAGATATAACCATGTAGGAGCGAGCAGGTTGGGCGACAGGCAACAGATGGCGCTGCTGCAACAGTGGGTCACAAAAGTATAGCGGCTGGTGACGACCCCCCGCCGCAGCTAGTGCCATGAGACCTGGGGTCTGAGGCATGAGGGTTATGCACAACGAGTGAGTGAGCGCATTTGTTATTTATAGTTTCGAGCGTGGAAATAAACATACAGAAACCAAGTCGAGTGCATATGTTAATTTAATTCTCTGATTTCGACAGAACCGGTTTTGGCATATAAGTAAAAAGTTAAATAATAAAAAAAAAAAAAGGTCGTATCATCTAGCCGCAAAGCAAATTTAAATTAATTGTTGGCTGATGGTACGTGAATTGCTGAATAGCAGCGACGAGACGCGGGGTGGTGCGAACCCTTATCAGTCCGCGGGCATTGTTTATACAGGCGGCCTACTGATAAGACGCACTGTATGCTTGCGGATGCGTCAGCGTCAATTGAATTATGATGATTAAACACAGAGTGGCAACACCACACACTGGCGCACAGTGTTAGAGAGCGGGCGGGGGAGTGTGGGAGTGTGTGCCAGTGTGGGTGAATACGATATTTGATGAACTTACCGTTTGGACCGCCTCAATGGATTCCTTGCATTGTATCGTCCAGAACATAGCAATGATAAAGAGGAAGTTGTAGAACTCGTATGCGCCATGCCCCCATTTGCCCATCATTGCACACGTTAAGAAAAAGAAGTGCACAAAGGCAACGACCTGTGTGAGAGATTAAGGGAGGGGTGCGGGTGGGAGTGGATGTGGAAAGGTGGTAAGGGGGGGGGGGGGGGGGGGTTATTGTTGAATATGGAAAGTTTCCTTAAGTTGCATTTGCTGTTTGCCTATTGAGTAAGCGGCTCAAATGAAGCCCCACAGCGACGCCGCCGGCAGCGGGCTGAAGTTGCAAATTGGCTGCCGCAAATGTCGAAAACATATCGAATGGCTTTTGCGGTTGGCCGCCGCCGGCGTCGCTGTAGCTGCCCGCGTCTCAGTTGCCGCCTGCTGCATTAGGCGCTAATGAGCGGTGCAGCATGAGGGCAATGCTGCCAGACTGGGCGCGGCTGAGCCGAACCTGAGCTGTGTTATCTAACACTAGACCAGCGGGCAGCCCAATAAGTGAGTCTGAGCGGGAGTTGTTGCTCTTGGCCGGCTTCGCTTGCGTCCAAGCCCACGCCCACGCCCAATCGCGAGCACGCCCCCGTTAGCACCTGCTTGTATTTACCTTGACGCGCACAAATTGCGAGCCCATGAGTTCATTTAAGTCGGTCATTTTGTAGCTCTTCTTGCCAATGCAGCTGCGCAGCCGCCCACACACCTGTTGCCTGTTGACAAAAGAAAAAACAACAACAACAACAACCAGAGGAAGGAGACGAAGACGAAGGCAATCGAGGCGTCGCTGTCGCTGTCTCTGCTGACTTCGCTGCTTGCGTTTTTGCCAGCTGTTTTCGTGCAAATATTTTGAATTGTTCTACTTTAAAAAAGTTGCTTTCTTTTTATGTGTGTGTGTTATTGTTGTTGTCAAATTCTATTTTGATTTACGAATTCACTTTCAATTGGTTGAACGTACTCTGCCAAAGGCGAAACACGCACACTAATATATCTATATATAAATGCACACACACACACGCGCGCGCACACACACGCACACTCACACGCGCACAGAATCCGCAAAATGCAATTGTAGCGCGCACTTGTTGGTCTTCTATCTGAGAGTATTTCCACTAGTTCTCTGGCAATTATATATTTATTGTTTTAGAACAAATGTCGCCAGCTGCAGATTTCAGATTTCCAGGGCGTAAACACCAGTAATAGCAATAACAATACAACAGAGCAACGACAAGTGCAACACAGTTAATCAAATAACAACGAGAATTTCAAAATGTACGAGACAAAAAAAAAATAGACGGAGCGCAAACGAAGCGACGCGAACAGCTCTCGAGCCTTTACAGTTTCAATCTGAATCTGAATGTGAACTGTGCATGGGGCAGCGGCAGGCGAACAGCATATGTATTCAAAAAAAAAAAAAAATAAAATAAAAGTCCAATACAAGCGGACCCCCCAGCGACGTCAGCGTCGACGTCAACGTTGCGGTGGCGTAATCTATGCCAGGGCTGCACAGCATGCGCCAAAACCAGTGCTGCAATCCAGCTAATACATGTATCGATATTTTTGAAGAGTCGCTGGCAAAACTATCGAACAGTAAATATTATTATTATTGTAAATATTGTAATGCATGTTTCTTGAAATATAACAAATTTGTATTCTTGTCAAATGACACATTTCGACATATTATGACATTACATTTTACATGTTAAACGTTTATTTAAAATATTGATCTGGATTAAATTTTAAAATTAAAACGCGGTTGGGCAACGCCGTCGCTTGTTCACTTGCTGCTCAGACCGAGAGAGCGAGAGAGAGAGAGAGAGAGATAACGAAAGCAGTGATAACGTGATAATCGCGGTTCTCGCTGGATTGTCCATTGTGAACCATTTTGCAAAAATTCATTCTGCGCAATGTCCGACAATCTGAAAGTGAATCAGCCGGGCAGCACGGCCCAGTTTACCATGTTGCCAACATCAGTGATCACCTACGGCATGGTGCACAAGCTGGAATGCGTCCAGGAGCGCAAAGTAACGGTGAGTGCTTGTGCATGTGCTTGGCAACGCGCGTTTAACCTTTGACACTGACACACGCCACAACTCCGACAGCTGCCCACGCCCGAAAATGACGACGCCGCCGCCGCCGGCGAGCCAAAGGATCAGCAGCCGCAGGTGACGTACAAGTCGAACTCGCCCTGCCTGATGATAGTGTGCGACGATGGCGATCTGAACAGCGCCAAGCACCATGTGGTTGCCTCGCTGCACGATCCGTTCGCGGAGCACGCGGTGGCCACGCTGCTCATCCAGGAGAGCGTGCGCGATTCGTTTCTGGAGCGCGTCGTCGAGTGCTTGGAGCCGCTCGATCCGCAAATCGCCAATCATCCCAATTATGTGCGCTCTGTGGCCAAGCTGCAGAAGCTGAAGGCGGAGACAATTGTTGGCAATCCGAAGACGGTGCCAGCGAATGCCACGCCCATGCTGGTCAGCGATATATACCATAATTTTCTGGGCGACGGACCCACGGGCATCATCACCATGCACACCTTCCGCACACCCAAAGACGCCACCCAGGTCAATCAGAAGGAGACGCTCGTCTATGGCTCGGTCAGCATCTGGAACGAGAAGCTGGCCAGCCCCTACGAGGTGTGCACCCTGCTCAAAAACGAGATCTTCATGATCAACTGCTACAACATCGATCTGGCCCCGATCCAGGCCTCCTTTGCCATGGGCAAGAACGATGCCAAGATCATCAATGGCTACCACTACGAGACCCTCACGACCAATCACAAGCGCAAGATCATTGTCTTTGCCGTCGGCACCATCTTCGCCAACTGATCGGATGACGGGGATCTGCAAGGCTCCACAAGGTGCTCCACTAGCTTTTAACTAACTGTTATCCCGATCGTATATATATATAGATATATACACACATATATAAGTCCGATTTGTTTGCCATGTTTGCTTTTTTTAATGTATAAGGTTCTGAAGGCCTGTCACAAGTGTGTCAAGTGTGCACGACTAACAGTTACCCTGTAAACGGTCACGAGCTGCGCTTATTTCATATTTGCATACGAACATTCCTAAATAACTTTGTTCGATTATAATGAAATCGGGACTTAAGAATAGCATTTAAATTTGTACATATACCATATCAAATCAGCCTGAATACTCGTTAAAGCCTAATATACCCTTTGTTGCAATGAAATTTCAAATAACTCGCATTGTTAAAGACTTGAGAATATGACATTTAAAACTATGCATATACCAAAAATCTGCCTGAATGCTCGTTATTACTCCAAAAACTTGTATACCCTTTCTTTTGTGAAGAAATGTGAAAAACTTTTCGATTGTAATTAAATTTTAAGAATGGCATTTAAATCGTAGCATATATTTGTAAACTGATTATACCCCCTTGTGCTCACACACTTGCAGGGTATAACAAATAATTTCCACCCTCTCTCTCTCTCTCTCTCTCGCTGGCGCTCTCCGCAACTTTTTGGGGGCGTGCGTATTTGTTTGCTCAACAAGTTCGTTGCCCTCACCCGAAATTATATGAATACCCGTTTTATCAGGGCTTGATTAACAATATCTTTCTAATGAATTGGATGACTCAATTGATTCGTTCAAGTAATTTCTATAAATTATAAGCATTATTTTCATGCTAAAAGTTCATATGGAGCTATCTAAATTCCACAAGCGTTTTGTTTGCATTGCCCCAACTGTTTTATAACTGTTTTTTAGTTAATAGCTTTCTTCGCCCCGCTACCCTATTTAAATTTTGTGCAACTTTGGCCGAATTTTGTTCGCATTTATGCTAAATACTTCTAAATATCAAAAGTCAGCAAGCGGAAATGAACTGGTCAAAATGTTGCTTTAACTTTTTTATTTAGAGATAGCACTTTTTTTTTATCAACATTCATATTTTTCGTAGTTCTACAGAGAATAATAATATATTGAAGGTTACACCATAAAAAGCTTATCTGTCGAGACTTTACTCTCACCAGCTTACAAATTTCAGAAAATCTAGAATATTTCAGTTAATTGATGCACATATATATCTTTATAAATATGCAATAATCGACACCATTTTGTAGGCTATCTTGATAAAATATATACCATATAAGCCAGTTTTAAATATAAATAGATCTGTGCGATAATTAACTATATAGGTTCTATGTAGAAAAGTATGCACAAAAACACGTTTTAGCGAAAAATCCATTATTTAGCTTTTGGCTAGCTATATAATATATCTACATAGGAAATACTCTCTATGCACGTGTTGAATACTCTCGATTGAAATTCGTTTGGTCGAAAAACTTTTTTTTTGTTAATCATTAAAAAAAAGTTTCGTTATATGTGACATTTTTAAATATATATTTGGAATATATATAAGTATGATTTCTAGCTAAACTCGTAAAATATTTAAATATCTCATTTGATTAGGGCATTCAAAGTTCGTTGGGCTTTAAATTGTAATTTTGCCATGTCTGCCCCTTTCATGAATATGCATGCATACATATGCATTTCTATTGCGCACTTACAGGCACAAAGTATGCCCACTCACACACACACACGCACACATGGAGCGTGTGGGAATTAAAACTGAATGTAAACAATGGCTAAGTATTAGTTGTTGGTACTTAACAAAAATCCGCCAAAGCGCCTTCGCTTCAAATTCAGCGCTCTTGATGACGCAGAGAGAGAGATCAAAAGTGAGAGAGAGAGAGAGAGAGAGAGCGCGCGCGCCAAATGGCCATTCACTTGCTGTATTTACTGTTGTTGCTGCTCCACTTTCCCAAGCAAAGCTGCTGAGTACTCGCGCCTGAGAGAGCGTACCAGCAAAAGCACACAGCCATTGACAGAGAGAGAGAGAGAGCGAGAGGGCGTGCAAGAGGCAGAGTGGCAGCAGCAACAACAACAGTTATATAGCGTTTCGGCTGTGTTTAGAGTTAGTTTTTAGTTGTTATTGTTATTGTAGTTACATATTGTTGCTGCTGCTCGCTGCTGCTCACTGCTGTTGCTGCTGCTGCTGCTGCTGCTGCTGGCTGAGACTTCAGTCGCTGCCAGCTGCAGCTGTTGGTGAGTTGTCTTTGGCCGTTGTTGTCGCTTGTTGTCTTTGTTGTTGTTGCTGGAAAAGTTAAAAGAGAAAATGTGCTGGCAATTGCACAAGAACTAGCAGCAAAAGCGAAACAAATTATAAAAACCAAAAAAAGCAGAAGCGTATAGAAAGATATTTGCAACAATTGAAATTGGTTTGCCGAGATGCCGCCGCACAGATGGACAGACGAAACGCGCGACGCCTCCTGTTACTATGGCAACAATGTTGCAAGCGCTGCTGGTGGCGCCTCCAGCGATGCGGACGATGACGACACGGAGGCGGATGACGAGCGGCAGGCGTTCTGCAGCGGCGACAGGCCGCTCATCCGAGGTAGGCCAAATCCCAAATTCGAAATTCCGAAAACAAAAAAAAAAAACAATATTTATTCAAACTGAATCCACGCCGAATTCCCAGCTGCCGAGGAGCTGGGCCAGGCGGACAGCTGGCTGCAGACGCGTCACATCTTCGGCCTGATGGGCTTCCTCGGCTTTGCCGTCGTCTATGCGATGCGCGTGAATCTCTCCGTGGCCATTGTGGCCATGGTCAATCAGACGGCCATACCGCACAGCAACAGCTCCGTGTTGGCCAACGATACGTGCCCGACGCCCGCGTCGAATGGCACCTCCATGGGCACTTTCTGGCGCCGCCTGCCGCCGTCGGAGGGTGAATTTGTGTGGGATGAGGCCACCCAGGGCCTGGTGCTGGGCAGCTTCTTCTATGGCTATGTGCTCACCCAGGTGCCCGGCGGCCGCATGGCCGAGCTGCTCGGCGGTAAACGCATCTACGGCTACGGTGTCCTGATCACGGCAATTTTCACGCTACTGACGCCGCTGGCGGCGCACTGGGACCTGCCGCTGCTGGTGCTGGTGCGCATACTGGAGGGCATGGGCGAGGGTGTCACATATCCCGCAATGCATGCCATGCTGGCGCACTGGATACCGCCGCTGGAGCGCAACAAATTCGCGGCGATTGTCTATGCCGGCTCCAATATTGGCACCGTCATCTCCATGCCCCTAACTGGCTGGCTCTGCTCGCAGGACTTTCTCGGCGGCTGGCCGTCGGCCTTCTACATCTTTGGGCTGCTGGGCCTGGTCTGGTTCGCCGGCTGGATGTATCTGGTGTACGACAGGCCCAGCGATCATCCGCGCATCTCGCGCAAGGAGCGCGCCTACATTGAGCGCTCGCTGCAGGTGCAGCAGCCCCAGCTGCTGGAGGAGCAGTTGGAGCAGGAGCAAGACGACGAGGAGCAGGAACAGGTGCCGGATCTGGTGCAACTGGATGACATACCCTGGCGTTCGCTGCTCGGCAGCGTGCCCTTGTGGGCCATTCTGCTGACGCAGTGCGGCCAGAGCTGGGCCTTCTACACGCAGCTAACGGAGCTGCCCACCTATATGAGCAACATCCTGCACTTTGACATCCAATCGAATGCGCTGCTCAATGCGGTGCCGTTCCTAACCTCCTGGTTCATGGGCATCGCCTGCTCCGCGTTGGCGGATTGGATGCTCGCCCGGCGCTACATAACGCTGCTCAACTCCTACAAGCTGTGGAACACGATTGCCTCGGTGGTGCCCTCGCTGGGCCTGATTGGCATCATTTACGTGGGCTGCGACTGGGTCTGGGTCACATTCATGCTCGCCGGCGTCGGCTCCTTTGGCGGTGCCGTCTACGCCGGCAACCAGATGAATCACATTGCGCTCAGTCCACGCTATGCGGGCACCATGTACGGCATTACCAACTCGGCGGCGAATATATGCGGCTTCCTGGCGCCCTATGTCATTGGGCTGATCATCAATCATCGCGAGACCCTGACCCAGTGGCACATTGTCTTCTGGCTGGCGGCGGGCCTCAATATCGCTGGCAATTTTATCTATCTAATCTTTGCCAGCGCCGATGAGCAACGCTGGTCCCTGCAGCCTCCGGCGGCGATCAGGGCCTCCGGCTCCGCGGCGGGTCGAACGTTGCGCATCTAGCGGCTGCTCCAGGTACCTACCACAAGCCCAGACTTAAAACGTTATATCCATTTAGAGCATAAGCATGTGTGATAATTCCGAGCGGAATGTTTTCTTTAGTTCCCAAGACGATGACGACGAAGACGATGACGACAATGACGCAGTATTCCTTGTGAGTGAATCTAACCCTCGAACAAAACACACGCTTTCCCGATTATAGTTCAGTAATCCTCCAGCGGCTTCCAGTGGAACCAATGTGAAGCTTAAGAAACACTTCTCATTAACCTGACCATGACTTCCAGTAACCTTCCAGTAGCTGTTATTTGTGAAAGCTGCGTCTTTATGTTCACTTCCAGCAGCACTTCTTGCTCTTCCAACAGCTTCCAGTCACTTTCCAGTAGCTTTTAGATGCAAAAGCTTCTGATTTATGTTCACTTCCAGCAGCACTTCCATTCAACAGCAACATCCATTCACTTTCCAGTAGCTCTTAGTTGCGAAAGCTTCTTTATATCTTTTCCAGCAGCACTTCTTGCTCTTCCAACAGCTTCCAAAACTTTCAGTGACATTCCAGCAGCACTTATTTTATTCCAACAGTTTCCAGTGTTTTTATTAAGCTCACTCGGCCAGTCTAGAAGAAAGTGCTTCCAATGCTCTTCCAGCAGTATTTATTGACCTTTCAGCTGCTTCCAGCGATTCTTCACGTGTTGAGACAAAACATTTGGTGGCTTTTCAGGCGCTTCCAGTGACTATTAGCATCCAATAGATATATGTTTAGATTAGACAGACTGCTTCCAGCGGCTTCCAATGATCTTTTGCTGACTTTCCAATGGCTATTAGTGTGGTTTCTTTCACTGTACCAATTGTTAGGCGGAACAGTAACCGTTATCGCTTTTTACAACGGACTGTGTTTTGCTAGATGTTTTTATAACAGTATACTATATATGCAAATACATATATATATTCGTTACACGACTTATGTAATCCCTATACGATATACATATATATATATACAAACTAGGCTCTACGATTGGCCTATATAGCTTTAGTGGGGCGCCAGTGCGGTGGCCCAACGAAATTTTACGAAATATATACCATATACAAGTTATAAATTATATATATATATATATATATTATATATATATAAATATATAAATATATATATATGCCTTTTATATAAGCTATATATATGTGTGTAAATAGCATCGAATGGCATCTGAATGCCACTTGAATATAAACTATGCAAAATATAAAATCGCACAAACATATCGTAAATGTTGAAAATGTAACTTGAAATTGTTATTTTGACTTGAAACAGATTCTCTTAGCACTAATTAGGACTTAAAAGTGATTAACGGGATGTTCACTAAACGATCTGGCAACACCTGCGCATTAAGTTGGCTGCGCCTAATCGTGTACTATTCTGTTCAGGCGCAGCCAACTTAACAGGCTCGAGGAAACGAATCCTGTTCATTTGATGACCTTTGGTTAAAAAACTCAATAATTTCTTGTCATGATATCATGCATTTCACGACGCAAACATTGAGTTGACTAACAATTAGTCGTAGCTGTTTTAAAGTTAGTTATTTTAGTCAAACGCATTCGTCATGTGGTTGGAAAAATTCATTTTCGGTACCGATTGTTCCTATTGAAGTCATGTAATTAGTTTTGGGCTTGCAGATATGCGAGGAGAGTACAAGATATATCTAAAATACAAAAATTGTTTAAGCAAAAGTTAAGTTAAGTTTTCCTTTTTTCAAGAAGAACTATATGTTCAAGTAAACTGATGTTGATGCGATTTTGGACTAGATACTATGAAAAACAATAGAACTTTAGATCAGCCCGATTCGACTGCAACACAAATGCGGTTCTATGGAAGGAAAGCCTTAATACTAAGTCAATCTATCATATCGCAGACATAAGTATCAGACTTCATTATAGACAACAATGGCACAAGCTTTGGCTTTAGCAGTAAAAGACAAGACTTGGATGACTAAGAAACAGTTCCTAAAACCCAATAACGGGGCTAATTGCTCCGCTAACCTTGAAAGCAACTTTGAAACGAGAAAGTAAAAAGTTATTCGGCACGCCGAAGTCCTAATACCCTTGTAGATATATGCCTTGCGGCTTTGCAGATATGTGAGAAAAGTAAAGATGAGTTTAATGTTGCCATTAGGAAATTTATTTCGATTCTTCCTATAGAGAACTATATAATATAGTAATGTGATCTTGTTTAGATTTGACTAATAAATAAGCAGCTTAGTTTAAATAGTAAATGCGAAGTTTGATCAAGATATCTTGATAAGTTAAAGTATGTGATAAAGTTGTCCGTACGAGAACCTACTGCTCGACCGATCCTTCCTATGTCAGCTATATGATATAGTGGTCCGTTCCGGGTCCAAAATATGAATTGCCTGTAACAGAAAGCTAGACCTAGGCAAAGTTTCAAGAGAGAGAAGAAGACAGAGAAGTTTGCCTACAAAAAGACGGACTGATCGAAATGATATATCAACTCGGCTTTTGATGCTGATTTAGAATATATATGCACTTTATGGGTTCGAAGATATCTGCTGCTATGCGTTACATATATCATGACAAAACTAAAATACCCTCTACAAGGGTACTACAAATACCCTCTCAGCATAGTCAAAAGACTCTCTCTATAAAACAATTCGAATAAATAGTTTAGTTTTGTTACATTTTCGTTTATTTTACTTTATTAAGAATAATTAATGCCGCTTGATTAGTTTTTTGTTTCTTTTTGTCGGATGCTACCGATAACTGGTTACTGGGTAAGGGTTTTGTAGGGGGTACAGGAGACTCGGTTGGCGTTTCAGTTTGTTGTTCTTTTCTCTTTTGATATGGCATTCATAAATATATATATATATATTACAATACAAATACAAATACAATTAGTTATATATGTCTGTACTATCGCGCTATAACAAAAATACAAAAAAAAAAAAAAAACAAAAATAATCACACGAGAAAAAACAACAACAATGGAGAAAAAAATTAGACGCCCTTCATTTGATGATGCAGTATTATACGATATATAAATATAAATATATATATATGTATATATATAATTTGTATATATATAAAAATAGACTTATGCAAAGCATGATCATAACCGTGATCGTGAGCATGATCCAGCGTGTGCTGTGGAGATGATGGCCAAGACCTTGAGCTTGATCGTGATCACGCATCCAATACCATGATCCTGAGCAAGAGCCTGATCGTGTTCACGATCAAGATCTCGAGAACCCGATCATGATCATCAACACGACATTGAGCGTGATCATGACCCCGATTTGGACTATGATCAAAACCTTGTGATCGTGTGCATGACCAAGATCTCGATCGTGACCGCAACCTCTTTGCTGGCGATCACGACCAAGAGCCCGATCACGATCACGACCGTGACCTAGCGATCGCGATCGCGATCACGACTACCAAACGCTGCACTTGTTCGCCGGATTCATGGTGGTGCCCACGGCACAGCTGTAGGCATGCGCAAAGTCTCGCGAGTTGGAGAGCGGCCCCAGGACGCGTACAAAGCCCGGCGAATGCACCGAGGATCGGATCTTGGTTAGCGCATCCTCCGGCCGCATGCTGCCGCACCAGATTTGCGCATAGTTGAGAAAAAATAGCTGATCGTGCGTCATATTCAGCGCCGGCAGCAGCAGCTCGCGTCCATGCAGCTTCTCCCACTTCTTGTAGGCCTGCAAATAAGCCCGGACAGGAGCTCAGTTAAGGATGCGAGATTAGAGAGTAGGTGACTGCTGCTCACCCGGAACGATTGCTTGAGGCCGCCATTGTCGGCTATGTTCTCGCCCTGGGTCATGCGGCCGTCCATGTACATGTTCACCTCGTTGATCTTGTAGCGCGAATACTGATCGATGACGCATTGGGTGCGCTCCCGGAATGCCTCGATTGTGGCATTATTCCACCACTGCATCATGTTGCCCTCCTTGTCGAACTGCCGCCCCTTGTCATCAAAGCCGTGGGTGATCTCGTGCCCGATCACCACGCCGATGCCGCCATAGTTGAGCGATTTGGGAAAATGTTGACTGTAGAACAAGGGCTGCAAAATGCCCGCGGGGAACACTGAAAGAGCGACAAATTTAAGTCGAATGGATCTTCGATGGCAGATGACGCGCACCTATATCATTCTTGTTGGGATTGTAGAAGGCATTGACCACCGCCGGCTCTGTGGTCCATTTCTCTTTGTCCACCGGCTGGCGCAACAGATTCAGCAGCTTCTCCGACTCCCATTGCAAAATGCTCAGCACATTGTCAATAAAATTATCCGGCACGATCGTTAGCTAAGGACAACAAAGGCAACAAACGATGATCAGGAAGTCGCGGCAATTTTTGTATTATTTCTTACATTCACATACTCCTGCTCCAGTTCGGTGACATTGGTGAGAATCTCCGGATAGCCGATGCGTTCGTTCATCGAGTCCGCCTTCTCTTTGGCGACGGCGCGCGTCTCGTCGTCCATCCAATGATTCTCGGCGAGCAGCTCATTGAATGCCGCCCTTATGTTGTGTATCATCTCCAGGGCGACCTCTTTGCTATCCTGATTGAAGTTGTCCCGTATGAAGAGTGCGCCAACGGCGACGCCCAGCTTCTTATTGGTCCACTCGACGCACTGGGACCAGCGAGTACGCTCCGACTGTATGCCCATCAGAATCTTACGGAACTCGACACGCTCCCGCTGATACTCGTCGATCATGTGCGTCATCAGCGACATGACCAGACGCCAGAGCATATAATTGTGCACCACCCGGCGATCCGTTTGCTTCAGTATGCGACCCATTTCGGTCAGATAGGTCAGGCCGTAGGTGACCAGCGGCTCATCCGGCTGCAGCTGTATGTCCGCGCCCAAGGCCGTCTGCAGATAGACGCTCCAGTCGAGCTCCGGCACCAGCTGCTGCAGCTCCGGCAGCAACAGCTTGCGGTAGACGGCGCTCGTATCGTGGCGATCCGCCTCCGCCAGCGAGACATTCACCAGCTGCGTCTCGAACTGCACCACCTGCTGCAGCTCGGCCGCGGCTGTGGCCGGATTGGCGCCCAGCAGCAGCGAGATCTGGGTCATGTACTTGTGATAAGCCTGGCGATCGTTGACGCTGCTCGGCTTCAGGTAATAGTCGCGCGACGGCAGCGCGTACTGCAGCTGATCCATCTGTATGATGTTCACCGAGCTGTTCTTGTCATCCGCGCCCACGTACAGCTCGATCAGCACCGACTCGCTGTAGTTGAGCCGCAGCCTGCCCATCAGCTGCTCCACGGACAGCTCGGCGGGCGGCTGCCAATTGGACTCGATCACCGGCCAGCCGCCCAGCGAGCGGAGCACCTGCTTCAGGCGACCAGCGCCGATCTTGCGTATCTGGGCTGCAATTAAACGGGCAGCATTAGTCAAAGGAAAGCCACAAAGCGAGCGAGATACCCTTGAGTTAGCCTGGAGCTAACTCTTAGCATTAGCTCCTACTTCAATTCGGGCTCCAAAACGGAGCACAAGCCGAAGGTCAAGCCGAATTAGCTAATTAGTTCAGTCGCGCCTAACTTCGAATCGAAAAAGTTTTGTTTAAAACAAATTGAAAGCTTTGAAAATTATTTAAATAGGTTTTCTAACAGGCAGACGGAAGGAATATATTCTGGATCAAAGAGACCAGCTCGGAAACTTGAAAAGCCAGCGACTGGTAAGTAGAAATATATGTTCTCCCATAATAAATATATACAAAACAAGTGTGTTCAATATATTCATCTCTTTTTATAATATATCAAAATATATCAATTTTCAGAATTGTGTTTTTAAGCATAGCTCGAGGATTACAATAGCCAGTTAAAAGAAACTTGATTCGTGGGTTCTCGATTATTAAGAATGTTTACCTTTTTGGATGTCTCTACCTCTTCCTCTACCTCTTCCTCTAGCACCGTAAGATATCTCATTTTTAAGGTAAGGATCTTGTGCTTCGGTATATACACACTTTCATATGCCAAGCTTACGACCTGAAATTTTCATCATGATCGGACTATAAGCACCGAAGGTCTTAAAGAATGCATAGAGACGGACAACTAGACGGACATTGGCAATTACTTGGAGAACCATAGTCTCTGTTTATAGATGTGAAAAAGCAGGCTCAGTAGTCGAGCCTTAAGCCTGGGCATTGCATCGTATCGAGAATCGAACCAGCGACTATTTACATTGACCTTGACTTTATAAGCCTCAAACATAGCCCATAAATTCTGTTCCCACTTTTCTCAGGCTCCACATATTAAAACTCATTCTCATCCAAACTTAAAGGGCTCATATAACATGTGCATGTGTGTATATACCAGATATTAAGCCAGATTTAAGATTCTTAAATATTAAAGGCAGCTCTGAAAGGCATCAAGAGAGTCCTCCACTTAAACTATACAAGTTGTTTCTAGCTCTAAATCTTTCCTGATAGATAAGCCTGAGCAGAATTTCGTTATTTATCGATTTGTGCAAAACCTGGAGGGTTATCGATAATTTGAATAATCATGATCGACAATTGATATCGAGATAACAAAGTAAGCTGTCGTCAGCTTTGAATAAACTTGATGTTGAAGTCTAGCTTCTGAGATGGAAGCATTGATACAGTCGAATGGACGCTGTTTCGCCTTTTGCTTTACAGGGTATATTTCGACTACTCACGTATGTCCATGCAGCTCTTGTAGAAGGTCTTCGCCTTGACGGTAGCCGCATTGTCGCGTTCATCGATCGGTTCCTCGAGGACGCCACGTAACACCAGCTGCTGTTGATCGGAGAGCACCTGTTTGGAGGTTTTCCCATCGGGAATTAGCTAGAGATGCAGTCGAAGCCGAGGGCCACTTACCTCGAAGGTGCTGATCGAGCTGCGATCCTCGGGTATGGGATGCAATTTATTCCATGTGCCGCACGCATATTGAAAGAAATCATCGCACGGATCCGCAGTTAAGTCCATGGCGGACAGCAATGAAGCAGCTGCAAAAGCATTCAAAACAATTCATAAATCAAGCGTAAACCCAACCAAGTCCACAACAATGGGAACATGTTCAGCTGCGCGGCTTTTATTGGAATTCCTCGCCATAATTCATATTCGTTTCGATCATAAAAGTCAAATAATTCATTGAAAGCGCAACTCTTTATCTAACCCTATCAAACGCCCACCAGCCCATCTTTCCCATGCCCTGTACCTGCGCATAGGAGATGGGCTTAAAGGGCATATCGATTGCGCAGAAATGTGTGCAACAGCCGGACGATTATTAGTCCATAATCTTCATATTTATTCTTCTTTTTTTTATATATTTATTAATTGCAACTAGTTAAATGTTACTTGATAAAGGTCTCGGGGTACAGGGTATTACTCAGTTGGTCAAGCTCAGCTTTCGCAATCTAATTTGTAGGTTTGGCTAAAGTTTGCCCTTTGCCTTGGTTTTTTTCATTGTGGCGTCCGAAAAACTTTGTCAGCCTTTCGCGCAGAAATTAAACCATAATTGGGGTTGTCTTAGATAATTTAAGGTTGAGTACTTGAGGATTTCTATAGTCTGGTTATTCAAAAGATTTAAAACAAAGCGACAAGCCATAAATCAACTGAATAATAATAGAGCAAGAATATGCTTGCGCGGGCCAATTTCTTTTATTCCCATTTTCAACTGGATTTTGCGAAAAGTGTGAAACACTTTTCACATATAGTTTAATTAAAATCTTTTCTCGTCTTAGCTAGCCCTTGCAGTTGATTCCCAATCAGTCAATCAGGCGTGCAGTGAGTCAACCGCTTAATCAATCATTCAGTCAAAGAGTCAGTCAATCAGTGCGCCAGGTAGTCAAATAATTATTCAATTAGACAGCCAATCAGTCAGTCAGTTAGCCAGCCAGTTAGTGAGTCAATCATTCATTCAGTCAGTCTAATAGTCACTTATTAAGTCATATAATCAATCATGCATTCAGCCAGTATATAAGCCAATCAGTCAATCAATCAGCCAGTCAGTCATACAGTCAGTCCGTATATAAACCAATCAGTCAGCCAGTTAGTATGGGAAAAGCCGTCATTCAGTAAGTTAGACAGGCAGTCAGTCGGTCTGTCAGTCCATCAATCAGTCAGGCGGTTCATCCATCAATTAAGCAGTGCATCTGTCAATCAATCAGTCCGACAGTCAGTCACTCAATCAGCAAGTCAGGCAGTAAATAAATCAATCGGTAAGTCAATCAATCAATCAGTCGGTCACTCAATCAGTGAGTTAGTCAATCAGTCAGCCAAAATACAAACTAATCAGTCAGTCGCTCAGTTGACAGTCAGTCAATCAGTCAATAAATCGATCGGTCTGTCAATCAGTCAGCCGGAATATAGTCTAATCAGTAAGTCAATCAATCAATTGTCAATCAGTCAATCAATAGGTCAGTCAGTCAATCAGTCAACCAGAATAAAGGCTAATCAGTCAGTCAATCAGTCAGTCAGTTTTACACACAAAAGATTAAGCTCGCAGCTCATGTGTGTGCCTGATCCTGTTGCTGTTGCTGCTTCGGGCTCCTCCCCCTCGTTTAAGTACGCCCCTGCTCAATGTACGTGGGATTCCCATAAAAGCTACGCATATAATTAATGTACATCTCTCCTGGGGTACAGTAGGCGGGGGCAATTGGGCAACTGGTTCGTTTTGGTGGCATAAAAGAGCGAGGCACGAACGAAAAGATAGCCTGCTTTTGGGCGACTTACAGAGTGAGTGGGGCTGGGGCAGGGGCAGGGAGAGGGGGTGGCAACTGGTGGCATTAACAATTCTAAGGCGACTATTATGCATTTGTTATGCATGCATGCGATGTGGCATGCGGCAAGCGGCAAGCGGCAAGTGGCAAGTGGCGCCACACAGAGCACCAAATGTCACATTCCCAGCAATGGCCCATAAAAAGGTCGTTAAACGTTGTCTTCGCCAACGACAACATCGTTCGACTTGCCATGTTGCGAATGCATTTGGACATAAAACCACTCTGGCCACAACTGGCCCCAAATTGACGGTAATCAAATGCAAAGCCACAATAAAAATTGCCAATTAATAATTGAAAAGCCGAACGTCGAGTGGGCGGTCGCCTGTTGCCGGCCCCCGTTCTAATCATCTTCATCATCATCATCATCATCAACATGATTGAAATCCTTGAAAGAAGTAGCACTTACCTGTTCGCACGCATTCCTGTGTCAGGCAGACGTCGTCCTGGCTCCTGCGTCCGGATCCCTCCAAGCCGTTCAAGCTGCCATCGCCTGCAATTAGAGAACTTCGCAGCTGAGTTTGCATTTTTGCTAGGCACACACACACAGCCACACACACACACAGACCTGGCTCGATTTAAAAACCACTCAGGTAAATTAAATTTGTATTTTGTTTTCATTAAAAAAGAATTTGCACAAGCAAATTGAGGCATTTTGCGCCAAACGCACGACTAGCAAATACCCTGTTTTAAATTTGGTATTCTCTTGAAAGTCAGATACAAATATTCCATTGATCAGTTCTGTGTTGGAAAAGTCTTTAAAATAAGAAAGAAGCAGAGGCAAGTTAGTTAGTTCCGCGCGATGCTTCCCAAAGCTTCCTTTGAGGAACTTATAAGAGGCTAGTTATTATTATCCTGCAATTGATTATTCCCAGCTATAGAGCTATATCTTATTTAGAAGGAACCAGAAGCAGAAAGTTAGATGTTTTTTTTCTGTTCCCGATGAGTTCGCATATTAAATGTATTTCCTTCTTAAGTGGACTATGCTGACCTAGTTGTTTTTCCTGATCCTGATGGATGTGCAAATAAATACTCGATTGGCTCGCTTTGCCTTAGCTTTATGGTTAGCTCCGTCTTAAAGCCCACTTTGGAGCTGAATACAATTATATGCCAGCCAACACCCATCCTCATTTGGTTTGGTTTTATTTTATACCCTGAACCCATTCAAAATGGGTAAAAAGGCTATATTGTATTTGTGCAAAATGCAAATCTATGTAACAGGCAGAAGGAAGCATCTCCGACCCCATAAAGTATATATATTCTTGAACAGCATCAATAGACGAGTCGATCTAGCCATGACCGTCTGTCTGTCCGTCCGTCCGTCCGTCTGTCGGTGTGTATGAACGCAAGGATCTCAGTGCCTGCGCAGATCGAGTTTGTTTCCGATAATCGATAACTTACTATCGATAAAAATCGATATCGATATCCTGTTTTTTGGGCAAGTTTTGTAAATAATAAGAGCTAGAGCCACCAGACTTGACATATAGCTTCTAAAATAGAATATATATATGCATTTGATGTTGCAAGAAGAGGGTTCAGGGTATCCGCTAGTCGGGAGCTCTCGACTAGAACCTCTTACTTGTTTTTTTTAAAGTAAACACAACGTGTTGTGGCTGGGTCAGCTCGTGGTCGATGGCTCATCGATTGACGCCCGGATACACAGGCACACGACACATGTTGCATGTGTCCTTTTAATAGCTGGGCGAGTACCAAGCACCCCCCCCCCCCCCCCCCCGCAGGACGGCTCTTGCCCCCCAGGTCTACTTCCAGAAACTGCTCATTTATGCAGGTTCTAGCTTCTGGATTATTCCTTTGGCTTCCTTCAGCCAACGGATTGAGACTAAAGTGTTGCACTCAGACGAGGCCAACTTTTCATAATTGAATGGGACGCGAAAGACCGCCTGCCCATCCGCCGGTGCCTCGTGGAAGCGCTAATGAATTATGATTTGTTCAAGTTAATTGAGAGCTTTAGTTGGAAAGGAATCATCGCAAGGCAAGGCGAGAGAGAGAGAGAGAGAGAGCTAAGTGAAAGACAGACCTTGAAAATAATTCAGATATACTATATAAAAACTTGGCAGGATTATTATTTAATCACTTTCCAACAGACTAGAAATAATGAAAGAAGAAAAAGCCCTTTGAAGTAGTTGCTAATTTAACAAAATGCAAGGCTAAGTAAGTTGAGAAAAGTTTCATTTATTATTAACTGAAAGGGAAGCCTTAAGGATTGGATAGGAACGCCTTTTAAAGCCAACGAAAAGATGTAAAGATCGGAACTGGCACAAATCTCAACTAAGGGAAGGTCCTTTCGAACGATATAGACAAGAGTGGAATCGACAAGATATATATATCAATATAAACACAAAGCCCACCCTCGAAGAGGAATCTCTTATTCTAAAGGAATGAAAAGGAATAAAATACTAAAATATCAAGAGTAAAGATTGGGCAAGGTTTCCAAATGGAAACAACGACTGAAAGGAACCTTAGCACATTGTAATTCCTAATGTTATGTATATGGAAGTAAGAGTTATGGAAATATATCTTAGGATCAAGCCAAGATTTGATACCCTTGTAGACACTTGTCTTGGGCTATCGGAAGCGCCTTAATGGCATGAAAGCATCCAAGATTTAAAGTGCAACTCTTGGGAATTCAGGCTTTCAACTAACCCTTTGACCTTCAATATGCGTTTGCCCTTTAAAAACTCATTTTGTTTGGAGCAAGTTCAGAGTTACGAGTGCATTTGAAAACACAAAGACTTGCATAAATAAGAGGTCCTGTGCCAATAGCTGCTCCGACTAAGGTCCAAGCTGATGGAATCACAATGAAATGCCATGGAAATGACAGGAGGCTGGAGAACAAAGACTGAAGTGCATTGAAAATGTAAGAAAACTGAACTGAAGATACTCTGATAATCATTTTGTCATACAAACAACTCTTACCAAATGGACAACAAGAGGGATCCCATTGATTTCCTTGTCATATCATGCAATAGGTTGTCCTATTCACATAGTTCAATACAATTCCTTTGCACAATAAATATTGTGCTTAAAGTAAGTGACTGTTTACGACTTGAAAAGCCTTTCATATGTATATAAGTACACATAAATATATATATATAGCGATCTAGTAAAAGGACAACAAGAGGGATCCCATTGAATTCCTTGTCATATCATGCAATAGGTTGTCCTATTCACATAGTTCAATACAATTCCTTTGCACAATAAATATTGTGCTTAAAGTAAGTGACTGTTTACGACTTGAAAAGCCTTTCATATGTATATAAGTACACATAAATATATATATATAGCGATCTAGTAAAAGGACAACAAGAGGGATCCCATTGAATTCCTTGGCATATCATGCAATAGGTTGACTTATTCACATAGTTCAATACAATTCCTTTGCACAGTAAATATTGTGCTTAAAGCCGACTGATTACGACTTGAAAAGCCTTTCATATTTTTATATAGCTATATATTGAAAATAAGCCCATAATAATCAATTACAGCGGCCAACAACATGAAGAACATGCCGCAACCCATTTAAGAGGAAGCCCGATTGAAGGCCAAAGCTTGCCGCATGGCCTAACTCCATCAAGTATTTATAGATGTGTGGTTTATTTTTAAAAGTGTTGTAAAATAATACACAGAAAAAACCAGGGGGGGAGCAGGTGTGCGTGTAGGCTTTGATGATAGCCGGGGCTGGGCTAGGGCGAGGACAAAAAAATCGAAAAAAGATGAATGAATTTTTGTTGTAGCGTTCGGTTATTTTGGCGCTAAATATTAAACGCACGTTTTACAACACACACGCACACACACTCATAATCATGCTATGATTTGTGCCTGTGTGTGTGTGTGTATGTGTGCGGGTGGGCGTGTCATTCAATTAAGGCGCACAGGCAGGACACCCGCAGGATAACCGCAAATCGATTCAAGCAACAAATTCATAGGCGAATTGATTGGTTTTCCAAAATGGAAATACATTGGCCGAGTGTTGGTTAATGCTGCAGATAAGAAAAAAAAAATAATAATAATAATAAATGCCCCCAAGCTCGGCTAGAGTGGGCGTGGTGGGCGCTATTGGGGTTAAGTGTGTGTGAATGAATGCTGGGCACTTGAGCTGTTCGTTGGGTTTGAGTTTGGGTTTGGGTTTGGGTTTGAGCTGTGCCCCGCGGCGGCACGGAGAGAGAGCGGGGGGGTTGGTTATTTTTAAGAGGAAAATGTGCGAGCCACAAAAGGCAGCCAGGAAGCAGTTGCTGTCATTGTTGTTGGCCGTTGTTTGACATATTTTGTAATTGAATTTCCAAACGCGCGCGGAAATGAAAGGCGCCTACAGCACCAGAAGGGAGAGTGGTGCGGTGAAGCGGGTCGGAGGGGGCGGGGGATGGGGTAGTTAGCTGGCGGCAGCCACAGATTCAATCCACAATCCAATGCTGCCACCAAGTGGCAGCCTGTTGCTCTGCCAGCCGCCTGTTGCTGCTGCCTCTGCCGCGTCCTGTTGAAAGGAAATTAAGATTTTCATACCCTAACAATGGGCAACATCGATTTGTTGCGGCATTTGCCGCCAGCCTATATGCTCCGACGAGGCCATGTAGTCTGTTAAGTTATTTTCAGATCGCATGCGCTTCTCTTTTCTTTCTTGACAGATTTACAGCGAACTTGACTGAAATATTTTCATATTTTGGAACGCGGAATTGAAACATTTAATACCAAAGCAGCACCAGAAATCATATGCTCAAATTCTTATGTATTTTTTGTAGCTTTAATAGCTGAAAGCTAAATGTGCTTTGATTTTGTACCGAATTGCCCTAAGCTTTGCCTGCTTTTTAACATTTATTGGAACGCGGAATTGAAACACAACATCACAGCAATACCCATCATTGTATGCTCTATTTTTTATTACTACATGGACTTTTTACTATATTCGAATATGCTTTCTCATTTAACCGAATTTACCTAAAATTAGCTTAATTATTAACACATATCGGAACGCGGAATTGAAACATTTAATATCGCAGCAATACGCAAAATCGCATGCTTTAATTTCTATGTATTTTGTATAGATCGAATAGCTCAAAGCTAAATATGCTTGCCTTTTACCAAACTTCCCTAAGCTTTGCTTACTTCTCAACATTTTTGGAACGCGGAATTGGAACACTTTATACCACAGAATACTGCTAATATTCCTTTGATTTGGTATATAGAAGCAATCCAATGCATATTGTTTTATATAAAAAACAGGTTGAGTTTGAAGCGTTTTTTTTAGCGGTTTTTTCCCGCTAAAAATTTGTTCGACATGTATTTGAACCCAAAACTTCGGCCACAAAGTCTTTAGATTCCACTAACTAGGCGTGGATTTTCGGAAAAGTGTGAAATGTGTCGGAATTGAATTTGAGCCGAGCGGCTGGTTGTCAAAAACAAGTTCACAAACTCATTTCCGCGAGTTTTCCACGCTTTCGGGTGGAATAAACCCAATGTTCGTGCAATTACATAGGTTAGGTCTGTCTGGAAACAACTCTAGCATGTATATAGGATTATTTCATCTGCAGTTGAATGTTTCTACTTATTATATTCAAGTTTTGGATAATTCAGTGCCCAGCACAATCCACAATGCTCTTTCGGACCAATTGGGTGGATTTGCCGAAATGTGTGAAATGACCTGCAATTGATTGTTCATTGTTTTTTAGGCTAAGCTCACCTGCATCCTGTAGGTCGTTGCGCTGATGGCGCTGGCAACGCTGATGCACGCTGGCAAAGTAGATGGCGAGGGCGCCAATTGCGGCGCCCAGCACGGTGAAGGCAATGGCCAGCACCAGGAGACGGCGTCGCTGTTGCGCCTCCTTCAGCAGCAGCCAGTCGCTGGCAACAGACGGCGAAGGCGCCGCCGCAGCCGGGCCGGGCACGTTCCGCTGCAGAGCGCTGCCCACGGCGCCGCTGCCATCCGGGCTAAGGAATACAACAGTTGGCAGCTTATTTTGCGGCGGCTGCTGCTGCTGCTGCAACTGTTGCTGCTGCTGCTGCTGCTGCTGCTGGCCCAGGAGCGGGGAGACGGCGGTGGCGTTTAGCTCGTTGGCCTGCATGTAGCCATTGTTGAGGTTCGCCGTTGTTGACATTGGCTGCGGCTGCGACGGCGACGGCAGCTTGTCGTTTGCTGGCTTTGTGGGCGCTGTGCCGCCGCTGGGCGTGGCCAACATATCGCTGGCCAGGCGCTGGCCCTTATCTCAATCCCTAGCGCTGCGCTACCTTATCGACTGACAGCGGGCCTTTTGAGCAATCAACCGTGCTGCTCGATTTGATGGGCGACTTCACGCACCTGTCCACGGCTGTCCGCGCTGCGGCTTTGCCCCTTCAAGTTCGCACGGTTCACAGTTGGCGCTGCGTCGTCTTCGTCGTCGGCACTGCAAAAGAGACGGCATGCGAATTGGTCACAAGAAACTCTCACATGGTGCCAAGGCACGAGGCACTGCGGAAAAACCATTGGCCATATATTTTAGTCACTGTTTCGGCTAAAAACTTAGTTCACATGTTAATAGATAACATTAAAATATGGTCAACATTTTTATATGGTTAACATTTTGATGTAGTTTACATTTTAAGATGGTTAACATTTTCATGTAGTTTACATTTTAAGATGGTTAACATTTTGATGTAGTTAACACTTTAAGATGGTTAACATTTTGATGTAGTTAACATATTAATAAAGTCAACATTTCAATATGGTTAACATTTCAATATGATTAACATTTTGATGTAGTTAACATTTTAAGATGGTTAACATTTTGATGTCGTGAATATGTTAAAATAGTTAACATTTTTACACAACCATCATTTAAATATGGTTAACATTTCCAATATAGTTAACATTGTAATATAGTTAACATTTTGATGTAGTTAACATATTAATATTGTCAACATACTGATAAAGTTAACATATTAATGCAGTTAACATTTCCAATATAGTCAACATTTTTACATGGTTAACATTATAATGTAGTTAACATGTAAAGATAGTTAACATTTTAGTATAGTTAACATTTTAACATAGTTAACATTTTGTTATTGCCTGGCGCCCGAGCAGGGACATTCGATATTTTCCATTGTTCAATTGTGCTTGCCCTGACTTGATTTTAAGTTAATAATTTATTTGCTTGACATTAGCTTAGCCTTTCAATTAGACAAGGTTCTTGGCTGGTTGCACGCAGGACTTTTAAATATTTAATCATTTTAACGACAGCTGCGATTTTAAGTTTTACTCTCTTTCAAACATGTCATTTCCCAACTGCGAATAATTAACTCCAAAAATAGTTCAAGGCAGCTCTCCAATGTCTGCTTAACTGTGCAGACTATAAAGGTTTCTGCTAAATTGCCAATAATATCGATTTACAGAAAGATAATGCATAATTATAATATGTATAAAGATTATATATTTAACTAAATAATTTACTACTCGTTAAATTCTTTGAATAATTTCCACTTTCATTCTGTTCCTCTTCTTCTAAATATCAATTGAGGACTAAAAGGAATATCTTTCAGCTTGAGGCTCGCAACAAAACCAATTCAAATTTAAGAATAATTTGGTTTTTCCCCAGCTGATTATTTACTTAACTCACAAATGGAACGCGGAAACGAAACACTTAATATAACACTTATTTACATAGGGTACAGTCTGATGAAGCTAACTAAACGAACCAACTGGCGTTGTACAACACTGTTAATTGTAACAAATTGTGTAATCATATTCTAATTGTGCACACGTGCTATATGAAATGTCTGTACAAATAACTGTAATTGTCAATTATCCGAGTGCAACCGACCCAACCAAATGGGTAATACGAGACGACCGCAAAGTATGATCACCTTGTGCCCAACTATACGTAAGCCCAGTTAAATATTTAATCACACTAAAATGCGTTCTTCCTTTTTTAATATAAAACTAAATATCTAATAAGTATATGGCGAAGTTCGTTTAGGTTAGTTTAAGTTGAGCTCTGCTTTTTTGTTTTTCCTCGAAGCTGGAGATTTCTGTTCCACATAATTCCCTAGGCAGTCCAAATTTATGCTGTTCTTTCTTAACGCTTTGTTATGATCTTAAGTCGAAACTAACAAGAAAAGGAAGGCAGCGAGAAACTTAAAATTAGATCAAATGAAATTTAGGAATTCCGAAAATTATTAAAAAAAATCATAAAACTCCTTAATATAAAGCTGGAATAAATGTTTTCACAATTTATGTAAGAATTTTGGATTTTTTGAAACAATCCAGATTTTGTCAAAAAAGTAACTCGGAACAGAGCATGGCGTGTGTGTGTGTCTTTTTTTTTTCTAGTTCTTGCTGATATTAATTGACATAGACTACGCGTCGTATGAGTAATATTTACTATATATTATTTATAAAAAAAATAAAAAAATAACTTTGCAGCCAGGCCGCGGCTCGCGAGCTTTACGAGCATCATATGTAAATGAAACTTGATATGTTTAGACGGGAGGGATTAGATCATGACCAAACATTAAAAAAAAAACAAACAAAAAAAAAAGTGGGCAAAGATATCTTGTTGAAGATTTGGCAATAAATATAGTAGAAAAAAGATTGCATTAATCTAAATGAATAGTTGAATTTAAATGGGCGTTAATTTAATATTAGATTAGATCATGACTTAAGACTAACTAAAACAAGCAACAAATTAGCACTATTCGAAAGTGATCGACTGCGAGACACACTCAATGCGTTCTTGATTAACTTCGGTGCTTAGAGTCCGATCTGTAAGTGTGTAAATGCCGAAGCACAATAGTTGGTTACTTTTTCAGCCCATTTTTGCTGGAATGCCTCAAGTTATCCGGAAAGTAAACTATTTTTAAGCTTTATAGACTATGCGAGAATCTATCTGCCAAATTTGGTGTCTATAGCTCTTAAAGTTCTCGAGTTATGCTAAAAAAACTCTTGGTACTGGTACCTAATATGGAGCACAGATAAATTGATAAGCTTCAAGTAGATTATACGAGAATCTGTATCAAATTTGAAGAGCCAGCTGCGCGTTTATGCATACACACAGGAAATAGTTCGGAGTCCTGATCTGAAATCGATATGCATTATAGTCTGAGAAATGCTGTTTCTTGCACCAAAATTTTGGATATTTTGGCTTTATATAGATCAACTTTGTTTTGCCGCACGTGAACGGGAATCTTACAGGGTTGCCAGATGCAGCCAGAAATGTCACAAGACGATCTTGAGAGCACACGCTGTGCTCCTTGCGCACACACACACACACACACACGCACACATGTATATTTTGATAGGCCCGGTAAACAGCTGTCTGTCCCGACTGTCGGCCAGCCGTGCCGCGATCAGGGCCAACATGTTTGGTGGTGGGTCAGCAAACGCAGCAGCCGCCGCGTAGAACGCAGAGAACGCGCGATGCAAAAAGCAGCTCAACTTTGATTAGCTATAGTATTCAATTTTAATTAAGATACAGCGGCTGATTTTGCAAAAAAACAAAAAAACGATAAAAAAAAAGCTGAAACTAGTTCTGCGAGAACGGTTCACGAAATAAACGTGGGCCGCACCTGCGCAGCCAGGGCAGGGCGATCGGAGGCTTCGCAGCTGGGAATAGCTGGAGGCCGGCTCATCTCGTGATTATCTTCGGCTAAACGCTCGGATTATGCAAAAAAAAAATAAAATTAATTATATATGACACACGCACACACGCACAGTTTTGGAGGGCAGCGCCAGTTGGCAACACAACAAAAAAAAAAAAATAAAATTCGTTACAAAAAATATTTGAAAAAAATATATGTGAAATACTAATTAATTTGCATTTCGCATTGTATAACAAGTTGGGCATATTATTTGTTGTTGCTGTACGTTAATTTAAATTTTATTGCTCTTGCTTTAAACTAACTAGCGGTTCTTTTATTTGTTAGCTGCTTCCATCAATTGTAAACTATACTTTTAAATTAATGGCATTTGTTTTTGCATTACTTTTTGTTGTTGCCAGCCAATTTGTTGTTGTTGTTGTTGCGTGCGTTGCCAGACAGTTTTTATGGCTCGGTTCTGTTTTGAACAACAGTTACATTTAGTTGCGCGCCGTTGTTGCTGTTGCCGTTGTTTTACTATTATTTCAGTTTGCCTTCTTTCTGTGTGTGTTGCTTTATCGCGCCGCCAAACCGCGCGAGGCGACCTCTCGTTACGTACTGAACGCTGCGAGCTGTCCTTAGCTTTTAAGCAGGCGGCCAGCGGCAGCGACGCCAGCGCACACGCTTGGCCGCGCGCTAACGGCAAAAAACACACACACACACACATACACACAACAGCAACAAAAGTAAAGACAAACAAGCCAACGTTTTAACAGCGCCGGCCGCATAAAAAGCTCTCTTTCGCTTCACACAGTTCTGCCTTCTGCGTTGTAAGGAAGTGCAGGCAAACAAGCATACACGCACGCACACGCACACACACACATATATATATATATGTAGCTCGCTCGCTTTGACAGGTGTCAAAACTATTTCGGCACGTCTCACACACTCACACACACACACGCAGACAATCGGCGCCTCTGGCAGCCTGCCTGACGCTACTCGCATGGAAAAAAAAAAATAACGGAATGCGCCATTTGCAGCGATTTGCCATTCCATCATTCGTCATTGGCATTATCGCTGCGTGATCTTCGGCTGATTGTCATTTGTTAACAATTTTCGTGTTGTCCATTGGCCAAAACAAAAGAGAGAGAGAGAGAGAAAAAATTAATTACCGCCCGCTGGCGATAAACGGGCGCAACAACAATCAAAAAAAGAATACACATGTATTTCGGATTCAGATTAATCATACTCGAAAATTAATATTAGTAAATACTTGAGACGTTGCGGTCATTGATTTGATATGTTCTTTTTTTTTCATTTGTCTGCTTGATTGATTTGCTTTTTTGTTTTATATTTTTAATTTGGCTATTGGATTTTGATCCCAACAAATTAATTTTAAATACAATCTAAAAACGCCTTAGGAAATTCCAAATTAACGATATTCTTACTGGTTTGATTTTGTGAAGGTTATCGATAGCTGCCAATCGATTACTGATTGTAATTCATATAAAGCCTGGTGTGAAGTGTTGCCAGCTGTCGCTTAGAGAAAGTTGCCGAATCGTTTGATAAAACTAGCTTTAAATAGCTAAGTGAGCAGATTGACATTAGGCGGGTTAGCTAGTACAAGCCAATAAAAAGCCAAATTAATTCAAATGTTTAGCTGCTTTCGACTGATGTGCCTGTAAACGGCCGAATTTAGCTAGAAAACAGCTGAACCTCAGTTAATATGGTTGAATTTGAGTATTTAACAACACAGCTCGGGTCTGTACTCTTGACTTTACGTTTTCAAACCCTTTTTTAAATCGCTATTAGCCAAATTAACAGCTATTTGAAGTAAAATTGTTTGCAGGCTTTTAATCGCAAACTATGTTTAACTATTTAAGTATGTCTCAAATTATTAAGACCCGTGTGTGTGTGTGTTTTATTTTGTTTATCTACGACAGCTGCGATAACGGCTTTTAATAACATTTCTGCCGCTAATTCCATAAATAAAACTGTCATTTATCGATCAGTTTGGTCATCGACGCATTTGCGCGCGCTTTAAGCTCCCGGCCGCATAACGGCATTCGAAAGCTGGCGGCCAACAACAGGTGGCGTGCCAAGACGACGTAAATTTGGCCAGCTCTTGCGTGCGACAGCGCGACAAATAATAAACTATGAAAATTCCCTCACTTTTGTGTGTGTGTTGTGAGCGAGGCGAAGTGGCGTCTGTTTTTATTTATTTAATGAATATTGTTGTTGCTTTTAATGTGTGGCAGGCGGGCATTACCTTGTGATTAGTTTTTGGCGCAATCAACAGCTGGCACGTGCGGCGGCGCATTTTCCGGCGCCATATGCGAGGCCCAGGACACGCAGCACAGGCCCGAGCGCAAGGACAACGCTGGGCAGGCAAATGTTTTGGGCTAAATTATGTGAATGCTTGACAGCATGCAATTAAATCCATTAATGCACGTTGCTTGATACAATTTATTATTATTTTTTGTTATATTAAAATGTTTGTTTATAAATTAGTTTTAGTTTAAGTTTTAGTGTTTTTTTTTTGGTTGGTTTTGTGGCTTTTGCTGAGCGTGTCCGTCACTTTGGCAGGGCGAAGCGCGACTAAAATAACATATTTTCGTGCATGCAACAAAAGCCAAGTTAATCTGACAAAATGCCAGGCGTTAAGCCAACGTCGCCAGCGACCAAAGTGGCGCCCGACCCCACGCCGCCCGGTTTGTAGGGTCGGCCGGCCGGCCAGCGTGAGCTTTTCTTTACGCCCTCTCAACAAAAACAAAAAGCTCACGGGCATTACAAACAAAAACACACACTTGTTGACATCGCGGCAAGCCGCGTATGCTGCACATAACTTACATTGGACGAGATAACAAAACAATATGCTTACACACAATACAACACAACACAAAAGGGCAAATGTAAAATGAAATAAAAATAAATTATTGTTAACAAATAAATAATATTTGGAGGGATTTTCAGTTTTCAGCAGCTCGCAAAATTATAGAGATCCGGTGTCAAACACATCTGTTCCAGAAAAGCTGCAAGAGACAAAACAAACCAATTTTTAGCAGAGCATATGGCACAAATTTTAACGGATGAAAAACGAACAGATCGCTGGAATAATTCAAAGCGACGAGTAGCGAGTAACGAGTGCAGAAAGCTGACTACGTACAGTACACGAATGAATATGAAAAACTCCGCAAGATTTACTGCAGCTCATTAAAAACGAACTCGTTCGAATGTTGAATGCGACGAGTAGCGAGTAACGAGTGCAGAAATGTAGTAAACAAATGAATATGAAAAACTCTCCAAGAATGGTTAAGAACGAACAACTCCCTGGAATAAGTGATTGCGACGAGTCGCGTGTAACGAGTGCAGAAATTTGGATGAATGCAGTAAAAATATGAATACAAAAAACTGATCAATATTTACTGCAGCCCATCGAAAACCAACTAGCTGGAATAACTGAAATCGACGAGTAGCGAGTAACGAGTGCTGAAAATTGGCTTTCTTTCTATCTTATACACTTCCAAATATAAAAATTCAAATGATTTTTAGTTTGGGCAACTTACCTCGCCGCAGCACCGCGTACAACACAAAAAGCAATAAAACGTTCCATCTGCGAGCAAATAAAAGATAATTAAAAACACAAAACATAAAAATATATATCTAAACAGAAAAGTCGGATTTATGATAATTATTAATTGATCAATTTCGATAACTCCCATGTTTTCAAAAGCGATAAATATCGATTTTAAGCTGCGATTTTTAAACATTTATCGGGAATTATAAAACCCAGACTATATTAGAATGCAGAGTCAATGATATAATAAGTATAAGAATAAGTTTAAGTCTGTTTCGGGTAAAATCGATAAATATCGATATTCAGCCGCATTTTTAACGTGGCGACTATAGAATATAGGATATAATATAAGTTAGAATAAGCTTATTTCTTTTGTGATAGCCACATTTCCAATATCTAAATTGATCAAGCCATATTTACAAGCGATTTTTAAAAGATTTCCTGGAGATAATTGGAGCAAAAGACATCCAAGTTGGACAAGTTCTATCTTTGCTCTAGCTCGCAAAGCTTATATTACATCTATACCTGCCCCCATCTAACTATCATTCAACTGTTAGAATCCCTTCGAAGTGCCGCTTAGACTAAGACTCACCATCATGGCAAAGGCATTATAGTTGCTGGAGAAGCGCACCGTGCGCAAGACCTGCATGAAATATTTGTGTATCTCGCTGCCCAGGCCTTTGTTCCAGTTGGCGTGCGCCAAGCGATTGTGGTGCGTGTTTATGATCAATGCGAAACAGCGCACCAGGACAAACATATCCGACTCGCGGCGAGCAACGATCAGCTGCATCCAGTCCACGCGCTTCACCATGTCGAATGCTTGGCTAATCTGCAATGACAGAGATTTGGAACGGGATTAGCTGTGGCAACCAAATTGTTTGCTTTAGGCACGCACAATATCAGTCTGTGGTTTGGGCATGTCCATGCCCGAGATCTTGGCGAACGTGGCCAGCAGGATGGTCATCGCAATGCCACGATTGACATCGCGATCATTGATCAGCAGCACCAGAGCTCGATGCATATCGATGACCCTTTGCATGCGCTCCCTGCCAGTGCCAAATGCAAATCTATCGCACAGGCTAATGCCAATGTATTCAATATATTCCGCTGGCAGCTCCACCGACAGCTGGCCCACCGTCTGTAACAGCTCGCAGCGCTGGCCCTGGCAGTGCGTGTCCAGCAGTTGATAGCTCTGCATCAGGATGGCCAAATGGTACAGATCGAGCAGCTGATCCAGCTGCACGCCGCCCAGTTTGTTGATGGCGCCATTCAGTTGCTGAATGAGCTGCAAATTAAAACATTTTAGCTGAATTCACAATTAACTTAAGCACAAGCTGCACCTGCGCAGTGTCCTCCTCCTCCTCGCTGTGATAGGCAAAGGGGAATGTGTGCCTGAGTGTGGAGCTCGTGAGGAACTGCTGCAAGTCAGCGTGCGTGTAGAGCGTCGTTGACGGCTGCTGCGGCTGCTCCGCATGTTTATCCAGTGTGACGCACAGCTCCTTAAGCAGTTGGCATCTGCGCGCCAAATCGTGGTCGGAATCCAGCTCCGGCTGCAGGCCTAGGTAGTTGTTGTTGTCATGGGCGACTTTTTCGGTTGAGGACTTTTTTGTTTGGACGGCCATGGCATTTATATTCTCCTTGTTCGTCTTCTTCTTGGACTTGCGTGAATTGCTGTCCACGCCCTCCGAAGCAGTTGTAATTGTCTCTTTTATGTGGTTCCTCTTGGGCTTGGGCGAATCGTTGTCCGCGCTCGGCACGTTAAGACGCGCCTGTCTCCTCTGTGCAGTAGTTACTGTTGCCTGCTTCTTGTTCCTCTTGGACTTTGGTGAATCGCTGCCCACATTGGACACGCTCAGTCGGGTAACTATCCTCTCCGAAGCAGTTGTATTTAACTCCTTTTTGTTGTTACTCTTGGGCTTGGGCGAATTGGACACGTTCAGTCGCCTCAGTGACCTCTGCGAAGTAGTTGCAATTGTCTCCTTTTTGCGCTTGGGCGAGTCGCTGCCCACGCTGGACGCGCTCACCCGATCTTGTAGTCTCTTTGAAGTCGTTTTAAGTGAACTCTCGGCGGGCGCTGCAGTTGGCAGCTGATCCTCGCAGTTTTCGCTGGAGTTCTTAGCGCGACGCATCCTGCGCTTTGTTGGCAAATTGTTCGCCTCCTCCTCCGCATCCTTTTGCTTGGATGTGGATCTTGTTCTGGTTGGATTGCGGGTCTGAGCGCGCGTTTTGGCGGGAACTATTTGCTTTTGAGCAATTGGCGCTGAGCAATCGTTGAATTATTAGTCTACTCCTGATTGTAATCATATAATGTTATGCTTGCGCTTACCCATTGTGTAAAAATGTCGATCAATTTCTTTGGAAGTTTGCAAAAGTAACTTAAATTCTTACAGCGCAATTGATTTTAAGCGGCGATGCATACGATCGTATGGCATCGAATAATCGAATATAGGCGCAGTGTTACCAGACTGCTGCCAGTTGAAACGCATGCACTGAACCGATTGGCAGCGCTCACTTGACTTTGCATGCGTGCGTGTGCGTGTGTCACATATATATACATACACATATGCATATGTTTTTCGGTGTATCAGCATGTCATGTGTAATTGCAGCTTCCCTTTTAACATCTTTATTTGTATTTGGCCTACTCGGCATATTCGCGCTGTTCTTCACACGCATTCAGCGTGTGCGTGTGTGTAGTTATTTCCTTCAATGTTTTACGTTTATTAACTAGTTATTTCATTTGTACTCTTAATACCCGACAAGTTTTTCCCCCAAAACGGAAAAATGCTTAGTAAATACATTTTGTTCATACCGCTTTTATTAATATTAACACCAAAACAATCGCAACTGGCAACAGCTGATGCAGCTGCCTGCAGCAATCTGGAGCGCCATGAAATTGAACGCCGTCTGTCCACCAAGACACCATATCGCGCCATCGCCAATTATAATGATTCGGCGCCGTTATACGATGGTATGCTGCTTGTTATTGTTCAATATGGGTATTCGCTGTGCCGGGTTAAAAAAAAAAAAATAAAAAAAAAAGCAAACCATATGCACAGCTGTTTTGGTTATTTCCCCTGCACATGCTTATTCGTTTCGTTTGTTTTCGTTTTCATTTTGTAAAGGTTGCCACCCGACGCGAATTTGGGCCATAATACGACATGGCACTCGCAATCCCAGCAAAGCGGTTATTTTGCATGCCAAAGAGCGCCTGGTCGAAATACAGTCACGTCTCTTGGCCCAGTCGGAGCCCAATCTCTGTGCCGACGAATTGAAACAGTTGCGTCAATGGAGCTGGGCGCACATCGATGCCGACGATGAAAAACTGCTGGTCGCCGAGGGCGAAGATGAACTGATTGAGCTGGCCGAGCGCATGCAGCTGCGCTTTCCCAGCCTCTTGCCCGATCTATACAATCCGGAATGGTTCTACATGAAGTATACGGCCACACAGCGTACGCTGAAAAGTGCGCAGAGCTTCGCAACCGGCCTATTTGGACGTCATCGCATACATGCCATCACCTATCCACAGCCATTGCATCGCGATCCAGTGCTACGGGTAAGACTATTTAGATGTAATACCATTTATTATATGCTTGTATAAAATATTAAACAAGCGTTAGACATTAGAAAAAACAAAAGATGCTTGCATCTTTCCTAAGAGATACGATTTTAAGATAAGAAGTATTTTAATGACTGAAATATTAAGAAATTATCTTATTTATGCCAAGCAACAGCTAATATTAATAGTGCTTAAGTGAACTGGAGAAAAGAAAACACGATCTTTGGCAAGTAGCTATACATATTCAATATAATCATTTATGAAAGAAGACGGAATGTTAAGCAAACGGCGCATTAAATGCAAATAATCGAATTTGTGCAATTTAAATAAGGCGCGTTTGTATGCGCAGTGTGGCATCACTGTGGTGCGTGCAGAAACGAATAAACACACAGGCACGCGACACACACAGGCAAACACGCTCGCACACACACACACACAGAGGCACACACACGCAGAGAGTGAAAAACCGTATGCGTATTTCGTAGTTGGTTGTTCAGCGCGTGCATTTTTTTTTTTTTTGTAACAAATTTTTTGTGGTTAAAGATTTAAAGCATTTGTTTACATTTTTGTTTTCGGTTGTGTGTGTTTGGTAATTTGTGAAAAACGGGCAAGACGCTCGAGACCACGAGAGACAAGCGTTACCAGGCGTACATATGTACATATATATGAAACGTTAAAACTGACAAACGACGTTGTCGTTTCGTGGGAAGTGCGACTGCAAAATTGTTTGGTTATGTGCAGCAGCCAACGTCGTCGTCGTCGTCGTCGTCGTCGTTGTCGCTGTCGTGTGTTGGGCATGTGCTGTTGAAGTAGTCTAGCACCAACAACAACAACAACAACAACAAAACAACAACAATAATAATAATAAGAATAGCAGCAACAACAACAACAACAGCAATTGGCAGGTGCAACAAGCGCAGCAACAAATTGTAATTATATATATATATATGTATCAATTTGTATATGTATATGCATATATTGTTATAGGTCTAAAGTGAAGCTTTTTCGCAGCGGAAAAAAAAATAAAATAAAATAAAATAAAATAAAAGAAGAGAAGAGGAACGCCACAAAGATGGCGCTGCAGCTGCCCATGTCGGCCGTTGCCAGAGAACGCAGCAACAGCGGCAGCGCAACAACAACAACAACAACAACAATCAGCAGAACAACTGGCAGCGCCGTCAACCTAATGAGCAGCGCGCCCGCGTACTGTGGCAACGCTGCCACTCGCAAGCCCAGCACAGGAGGCAATCAGCGTAATCTCAAGGAGCGCGAACGTGCGCCGAACGCCGCGACAGCCACGGATCAGCCAAAGCAGCAACAACAACAACAACAGCAAAAGCAACAACAACAACAACAACAGCAGCAGACACGCTTGGCGAACGCCTCGCAGCTATTTGACCTTGATTTTGTGCACGACGAACAATGTCCGCTCAGCTTTACGGCCATGCGGCACCAGGAGCCCATCGAGCAGTGGCTATATGATCGTCACACCTGGCGCATACGGGAGCGCATGAAAACGGCAAGCGTGGCGCTCGTCCTGTGCCTCAACATAGGCGTCGATCCGCCGGATGTGGTTAAAATACAGCCCTGTTCACGGCTCGAGTGCTGGATAGATCCCAGCTCGGTGTCCGCGCCGAAGGCCATGGAGCTGATCGGCAGCAATCTGCAGATGCAGTACGAACGCTGGCAGCCGCGCGCACGCTACAAGAAGTGCCACGATCCCACCGTGGAGGACGTGAAGAAGCTGTGCACCTCGCTGCGTCGCAATGCGAAAGGCGAACGCATCCTGTTCCACTATAACGGCCATGGTGTGCCCAAGCCGACGGCCAACGGCGAGATTTGGGTCTTCAACAAGACCTTCACGCAGTACATACCCCTCAGCATATTTGAGCTGATCAACTGGATGGCGGCGCCCTCGATCTATGTGTACGACTGCTCCAATGCGGGCATCATCATCAACTCGTTCCAGCCCTTTGCCGACCAGCATGAGCGCGAGCTCGAGAAGGCGCTCGTAGCACAGGCGGCGGGCGCTCAGCCGCCGGCACAGCTGGTCAGCTACAAGAACTGCATCCATTTGGCGGCGTGTGCGGCCAATGAGATCTTGCCCATGAATGCACAGCTGCCGGCTGATTTGTTCACCAGCTGCCTGACCACGCCCATTAATATTGCGCTGAAGTGGTATGCGATGCAGGAGAAACTGGGCATGGTGCCGCGCATCCAGAGCGAGTTGATTGACAAGATACCCGGCAAGGTGAACGATCGCCGGACCATGATGGGCGAACTGAACTGGATATTTACGGCGATTACGGATACGATTGCGTGGAACACGCTGCCGCGTGATCTCTTCCAGCGTCTGTTCCGGCAGGATTTGCTCGTGGCCAGTTTGTTTCGCAATTTCCTGCTGGCCGAGCGCATCCTGCGCAGCCACGATTGCACGCCCGTCTCGCTGCCGGCTCTGCCGCCGTGTCATCGGCACGCGATGTGGAAGGCCTGGGATTTGGTTGTGGACTTGGCGCTGCAACAGCTGCCGGACATATTGGAGCAGCAGGCGGCATATCGCCAGCTGCCCTTCTTTGAGCATCAGCTGACCGCGTTCCAGGTGTGGCTGGACAGCGAATCGGAGTCGCGCACCCCGCCCGAACAGCTGCCGATTGTGCTGCAGGTGCTGTTGTCGCAGGTGCATCGTTTGCGTGCTCTCGAGCTGCTCGCCAGATTCCTGGACTTGGGTCCCTGGGCTGTCAATCTGGCGCTGGGCGTGGGCATCTTTCCGTATGTCCTCAAATTGCTGCAGAGCTCGACACGCGAGCTGCGGCCTGTGCTGGTGTTTATCTGGGCCAAGATCCTGGCCGTCGATCCCAGCTGCCAGGTGGATCTGGTCAAGGAGTACAAATATTTTCTGACCGTGCTGCAGGACAACATTGTCAGCAAACAGCATCGCACCTTGTCCGCCTTTGTGCTCGCTTCCATTGTCCACAACTTTCTGCTCGGCCAGACGAGCGCCCTGCAGGGACCGCTGCTCTCCATTTGCCTGGAGCAGCTGAACGACAGCAGCTGGCTGCTACGCCAGTGGCTGGCCATCTGCCTGGGCATGCTCTGGCAGAACTTCGAGAAGGCCCGTTGGTCGGGCGCCCGCGACCTGGCGCACGAGAAGCTCTACGTGCTGTTGCGTGATCCCATACCGGAGGTTCGGGCCGCCGCCGTCTTTGCGCTGGGCACCTTCATCAGCTCTGTGACGGATCGCAGCGAGGAGCAGGCCAACAACATCGATCGCATCATAGCCATCACGCTGCTGGAGACGGTTGGCGAGGATATGTCGCCGCTGGTGCGCCTCGAGCTGGCCGCCGCGCTTCAATGGATGGTGCTGCTCTTCGAGTCGCAGTTCGTGACCGTCTACATGGCCGAGCAAATGAACAGCCACAGCTCAGCGCTGGTCTCGTGCGGCGGCGAGCGCAGCGCGAGCATTACACACGGCCTGCCCAGCTATGTGCTGTCCACGCACAGTCTGGAGCGGCACGGACACGCCAGCATTAGACGCGGCGTCAGCTCCAGCTCCATTTCGAACATGAGCAGCTCCAGCCTGGCGGGCAGCGGCGGCGGCAGCGCTGGCGCCGGCGTTGGCAACAGTGGTGGCAGCAGCAACACGAGCAGCGCCACCAATGCCATACCCTTCCAGTACATTTTCACCAAGCTGTGGCAGGGCATCTATAATCTGGGCCAGGATCCGTTTCCGCTGGTGGCAATAACCGCACAGAAGATCATTGCGCATGTGCGCGACGCGGCGCTCTGCATGATTACCGCCAAGGAGGCGACGAATGCCACAGCTGCGGCGACCACATCTGGCCGGGATCAGGAGAAGCTGAACAGCAGCATCTTGAGCGTCAGCCTGCCGCCCAGCCCGAATACTCGCTGCAATTATCTGGGCGCCAGCGGCGAATCGCCGCCAGTTGGTGCCGGAGCCGGAGCGGCTGCGGGTGCTGGTGGCACCGGCGCCGGCGCCAGTCACTGGGCACAGAAGCTGCGTCTGTCGGGCAGCGGCGAGGCACAGCAGCGCAAGCTGCGCACCAGCTCGATGAACGACGAAACCGATGGCGGTGCCGGCGGAGCAACTGCATCCAAGACGGTCACAGGCACAAGTGCCAATGTGCTAGGCCTGATGGCCGGCGCCAGCGTGCCAGCCGATGGCAACAATTCGGCCAGAAGCAGCGGCAGCGAAACAAATCATTATACGGACGCGAGCAATGCCAAGGCGCAGGTGCTGCAGCCCATCGTGCAGACGCAGTTCATCCCCTGGGCCATCTCCTACTTCACGCGGCCGGGCAAACAGCGCTACAGCAGCGCCGAGGGCAGCACCGAGGAGGAGCAGGGCCAACAGCGCTGGCCCATCGATCGCAACTCGGCGGAGCTGCGCACACGCGAGTATCGCTATCAGCGCAACGAGCTGATCCGTCGCCAGGCGCGTCGCGAGCAGCAGGAGAATCGCGTCCAGCGCCTGGACGCATTTAGCTTTGTGCGCAAAACCCAATTCACGCCGTCTTTGGTCAAGCTGTTGCCCTACGAGCAGCAGATCGCGGTCGCCTACAAGGAGAAGGTGCTCATCTATGATTTCGTGCGCAACTCCGTGCACAGCTACGTGACCGAGGCCCTGCCGGACACAGCCAGCGGCCAATCCCTGGGCAGCAGCAGCGCTGGCAGCGTTAGTGGGAGCAACAGTGCCAGCCGGCGGCTCAATGCAAGCCGCTTGCCCGCCTCCAGATTTGCGCGCGTCTGCAGCTTTGAGCTGCTGAATGCCCAGGATGTGGGTCTCATGCTGGTCGCACACGACGATGGCGTCATACGCGTCTGGCAGTCGTCCGGCGGACCGCAGGACCTGACCAGCAGCAGCAGCGGGGGTGAGCCGCAAGCGATCACAACTCGCCTAATCAGCGCCTGGGATGCACTGCCTCGCGCCGCCTACTACAGCAGCACAGGCAGCGCCGGCGGCGGCAGCAGCAGCAGCAGCAGCGGCTGCATCACTAACAACAGTTCCTATCTGCAGCGGCTGCTCAAATCGGATCCGCTGCTGCTCAACACCTCCGGCGGCAGCGCCGTCAACAGCGGCTCCACAGTTGCCGCAGCGGCTGCGGCAGCCGCGACCGCTGCAGCTGAACGTTTTGCTGCCGCTGCCCTGACTGGAGGCGGCGGCGGTGGCGGCGGCGGAGGTGTGGGCGCCGGCTCCAATAGCCTGGGCAGCAGCGGTGGCATTCACTATCGTGGCAGCACGGACATTGTGACCGCCTGGCAGCAGTATAGCCAGCATCTGGTCGTGGGCTGTGACTATTATCGCTATCTGCGCATCTGGGATGTGGAGCGGGAGCTGCGTCTCAGCGATCTGCAGCTGGGACGCCGCGAGACGAGCGTGCGCGTCCTCTCACCGTTTGTGGCCAACAAGCGCTGTGATCTGATCGTCGCCGGCTGTGCGGATGGCAGTGTGCGGCTCTTCGATAAGCGCTGTGCCCCGCAGGATGCTCGGATACGTGTCTATCGGGAGCATATGGCGCCCATTCTGCATGCCTGTTTGCGCGCCAATGAGACGTCCCTGGTCACCGGCTGTACGGCCGGCAAGCTGTCCGTTCTGGATTTGCGCGCATGCCGGGCGGGCGGTGCCACCGGCGTGCTGCATCAGTGGGAGGCCGGTGTCGATATCACAGCCATGGCCAGTCATCAGGTGGCGGATGCTGTTGCCTGCGGCAATGCATCGAAGATCTGCATCTATTCGCTCAATGGACGCACACAGAGCGTTCTGCGCAGCAACGAGGGCTTCATGGGCTCCAAAATTGGACATCCCACATGCCTGTCATTTCATCCGTACAAGGTGCAACTGGCGGTGGGCTTTGTGGACAACACAGTAGCTGTCTACAGCCCCACACCAGGTAAATAATCGCGACAAGTGACCAGCAACGTAAATAGAATCGAGTGAATGCAACGAGTGAATGCAACGTGTAGATATAACGTGAAGCAATAAGTAGCAACATCGTGTAGCCACAACGACTAGCAAGAACTTATAGCCACAACGAAGTGCTAGAAGTGAAGCTACGACGAGTAGGCATAACGAATTGTTGCAACTAGTCTGTTCAAGGGGTAACTAGAGCGTGATACCACAGCCGCACGAGTAGCTAGTGCTAATAGCAACAATAACGAGTTGCTGCAACGAGTTCATTTAGAATAAGTTGCAGCGAGTAAATATAGTTGCGAGTAGCTGCAAGGAGTAAATGTCCTGTTACAATTAGTCACATAACCGCAACGAGAGAACGCGTAGTCACAAAAGGTATATACCGCGCAATATAACAATATATAAGTAATATAATGAGTAGATTTAAGGAATAGCTGTCACCAGTTAATATAACGAATCGCTGTAACAGTTAGCCACTAAAGAAGCTAGAGCTAATAGCCACTACTAGTAATTATAATGAGTAGATGTAAGGGATGTTGCAACGAGTAAATATTCAACTAGTAAATATGACGAATAGCGGTAACTATAAGTCACAAAGCATTGGCAGAACGAGTAGATGTGAAGAGAATTGCAACGAGTTAAAACAAGACGAATAGCTATAACAGCTAGCAAGATGGCATAGCCGGAACGAGTAGTTGCAGCGAGTAGCTGCTCTATTTTCGCCCACTCTCGTCACAATTTGTACTTACTCGTCGCATTTTATATGCTTTCTCGTTACAGTTTTATAAACTCTGCAGCCGCTGGAAAACGGACGTCGATAAGAATCCTGAAACAATGTTTAATGCACGTAGCTTCTATGCGGAGCCTGCGATGCAGTCAGCAGTGGCGCACGTGCGTTCCATCACAAAATTAATGGACTTAACCCCCGAGGATGTCCAGCTAATGTACACCGTGTGCGCCTTCGAGACGGCATGGCAACGCCGCCGGCCGCCATCCGTCTGGTGTCGCTTCTTCAATGTGGCCGCTTTGAGCGCCTTGGAGTTTGCCGAGGATCTCGAATACTATTGGAACGATGGCTACGGCTACGAACTGACGCATCGCATTGCCTGTCCGGCAATCGCAGACATGTTTGCGGCCATCGAGTAAGTATCTACATATGTATATATATCTGATAATAAATTTCTGAAATCTATATTAATTTCAGCACGCCAAGGCCGCGCGCCAATGCCACCTTCTATTTCACCCATTCGGGCACGCTCCTCAAGATGCTGGCCCATCTGGGCGTGGCAAGGGATGAGCGGCCGCTGACGCACAAGGATTTCGAGAGCGGGCGTCTTTGGCGCACAAGTGAAATCGATGCGTTTGCAACCAATTTGGCTTTTGTGCGCTACGAGTAAGTGCCTGTGTATACCCTGTAAACAAAAAAAGGGAGTGTTTCAATTAATGTTTATATGCCTTTGCAGCTGCATTGAGAGGGAGCCGCGCGTGCTGGTAATGCATCAGGAGCGTGCGGTGCGCCTGCCCGGCTGTCCACAGGATGACGATCTTTGTCCGCTGTCAACGCTGCGACGCAACTACGCGGACAGCGTTGAGCGCTGCGATTTTGAGGCGCTCTGCCAAGCAGCCAACTGAGAGAGAAAGAGAGCGAGAACGACAGAAAGAGACAGAGAAAGAGAGAAAGCTGGCTGGCATGGAATGGGAATTGGAATTGGAATTGTTGCTGCTGCTGCTGCTACTGCTGCCGCTACCGTAAAACTATGTGAAATTTAACATGAAACAAGGGATTCATCGGAATTTGTAAACAAAATTTGAATTGATGTCGAGGATAAAACGAACAGAGAGCGCGAGAACGAAGGAGAGAGAGAGAGAGAGGGAAAGTAAGAGCTGTGCTAAAAGGAGTTGAAAAATGAGATGATATCGATGCTGCATATATATATATCTATATATATATATAGGGATAGAGAATAGCCGTTAAGTGAGAGTTGAAGAGCAAGCGAGAGAAATTTTGTATAAGCAAAACAAAAAAAGAAAGAAAATTTAATTGGAAAGTCGTTCTGTATGTATTTTGTATGCCTTATAATCAATGTGGACCATCCAATCCAAATTTAGAAAAAAAAAAAACAAGAAATACTGTATACGCAATCAAAAGCAGATATGAGAAAGTGAGAAAGCACAAGCGAGCAGGAAGGAGAGAAAATGTGTGCGCGTGAGCAAGCAGAGAGAGAGAGGGAGGGAAGGAGTTTCTAGCCATGCCGCCAAACCGAAAGTTGTCTATAATGCATATATCTATATATATATATATATATATATATATATATATATATATATATTTACCCTATATCAACTGTACAATACGTACTACTTAACCGAATATGCATACACTATATTGCCGCTAAGCTGCTAACAACATTTCTATATAATTTTTTCTTGATTTGTTTTTGTATATTTGATAAGTTTTTTTTGTTTTGAGAGTTTTTTTTGTTCAGTTTTGCTATTACACATATATAAATGTATAATCCCAACTGCTTAGTTGAAACAAAAAAATAATAACTATAATAATATCGCATTGCCCTTGTACATACCCATAATATAAATATATATATATATATATAACACTATATATATATATATATATATATATATATAGTTATTAAGTATATCCAACTTATGTGTAACTTTAAAGAAACCTATGCTATAAATGTACTCGTATATATATATACTATATGCCTGTATTCATTGCTACCGCACCCGGCCACACCGCCCCGCCCCGCCCCCACGTCTTTAACCTTATGTTGCGCCCACAAAAGTTGTTTAAGAAGCAAAAATGAAATCGTTCTCCGTTTGCCTGTGTTTAGAACTTAAGCCCATATTTGTAAGTGATATTGTTTTTGTTTCAGTTTCTTCTTACAGAAAGTCTCAAAAATGTTTGTTAAGAAGAAACAAAAAATTTGCTGGAAAAGCCTAAAAATGAGTTCAAACTTAAATTATTTATAACGCACGCAACAAATTACATGAAAAAGACGCAATTGTAAACAAATTATGACAATTCGGAAAGCACCGAATATGCAAATACCCTTGCTGGCAACGACTAGTTGTTAAATGTTAAACAATTTGGTTCTGAACACAATTTATTTGAGAAATAGCAACAAAACGATTTTGTTAAAATGAAATCAATCGCAAAAACTGTAAAACTATTAACAATATAAAACTAAGCTAAATTTGTTAAGCAAAATTTACTTGTTAACGAAGTGTTTTGTAGTCGTTGCAAGTTTCTTTGTTCAAGAGTTTAGGATTTAAAAAAAAAAACGTATCCTTGCTATAACGAATGTTAACTCGTTTTTGGTTTGTTCTTCATACGAAGAAGAGCTCAGCAAGGATGGATACAGTTCCTTACACTCCAAGCTCAAATGTCCAGCAAGAGTATTTAAGACAACAACAAAATATTGAAGAAAAAAAAAACCGCATAAATAACAAATAATGTTCAGTCAATAGTTGAAATTGTTAACAGTTTGTGAGTCTGGCCCGCTTTGGACCTTAAACCGAATTGAACGAAAAACACGTTTTGTACATAGCACTTGCATATGCCTATATACCTATATGGAATCACATACTTATGTACACACACACCTATATATATATATATACATATATATATTTGGTCGCTTTAATGTTATATTTGTCCCTATCGAAGCAACAATTGACTCAGTCGAACCGGATTTGAGTTCTGAACCTTTCAATAAAACAATAACAAAAAAATATTGATAAAAAAACCAAAAAAAAAAAAAAAACAAGCAAATAAATTGAAAAGTGAAATTGTAATTGCAACAACTATGAATTTTCGCGCAACCACAGCCGCTCGCCCCCTTGCCCCCTAGCCCCCTTGCCCCCTAGTCACGGCTTGTTAGCAAACTTCCCGTGTGTGCACAACGTGCAACCTGCTAATTGGTAATTTTCTTTATTCGGAACTATCAGCTTTGAGTGTGTGCACACCAGATACACGCTTGGAGGGCATCTACGATTTGTGCTAACACCTGTGACAGTTTTCGGATAGAGTATCCAGCAGTTCGTATTCGTGCTCAAGCTGTTATTGATTTGAATGCACTCGTGGATCGTCGCCAAGTTCCTTTGTTTCGAAAACTGCAAAAGCTGCAAACTTGAGATTTCTAAAATATGTTTTCGAGTTTTTTATTTATATATATATATATCCTTCTATTTTCATGATTTTGGGAGTTGCATTTAAAAGCCCAACTCGAGGATTATAAAAACAAAATACATCAAATTTGGTTTCTAATCTCACTTTTTCGATACCTCGCCTGGAGCTTTGGGATGTACGCTCTTTTGTATGCCATATTCAAGCCCTGAGAATTTCATTAAGATCGGACTATAAGCACCGAAGTTATTCAAGAACGCATTGCTCTGCCAAAGGCACGTCAGCTTAGCGTCGGGTTGCAGGATATCTTCTGGTCGAGCACTCCCGACTGAAGCTACCCGACTTTTGTCGTCGATTACATTTTTGTATGCTCTTTTGTGGCGGGCCTCAAGATAAAAAGGGCCTAGAAACTGGGAAGGAACTAAACTTCAGCCCTGCCCTGAATGTGTGTGTTTTTTTTTTTTATAATACTTCAATATTTGAGGAAAGAATGGGTATACCGACATTCTAAGTGTAAGCAAAAGCTTGGGATTTATGAAGATACTTTTATTTCAATACTCTTCCATTTAACAAAAAGAAGCGAGGAAATGTTATTAAAAGATTGAACTGGGAGAGTATTCAAACAATTTAGAACAATTTTTGTGTGTTTTCGGTAATTTTTATAGTTAAGGTTAATGCCTTTTTTTTGGGAATTATTTAGACCTAACCAAGCGATATATTCAACAAATATAATTGAATATATAAAGTTTAAAAAAGGAATAGAAACATTTCTTGAAGATATGCAAAACAGTTTTTGTTTGGTTTTGTAAAAACTTCAGCAGTTTTTTATCTCGTACTTTTTCTTTCGGAGAATCCTTGAAAAATATTTACAAATTTCCTTTGATTTATATATACCTATATATACCTATATTATGATTAGATTTGTATAAATATACAATTTATTATCAATAAAGTTTTTAAGATATGGATATAGTAAAATTTACCAATTATTATAAGTAGCTCCAAAAGTTGTTCAGAGCTTGCTTTTTGAAAGCTTTAACTGAGCTTTAAAAAAATGTTTACCAAGTTGTTGGACCTCGAGCCTTTTTAAGCCTTTAGCATATTTATGAAATCTGCTTTAATTCTATTTAAATACGTTGAAAGTATAAATCAGCTTAAAGCTCCCAAATCTTGCATAGCTTTTTGTAAGGATCATTCACAATGCTATATAAAATATTTTGACCAGCTTTTAAAGCTTTTATGCCTATCAAAAAGCTAGCACGCGGAAAGCTTCAGCTAAAAGCTCCTGTAGAAAAGCTTTGTTAGATTTGGCTTTCAATTCAAATCCTTGCAAGTTTCGAATAGCTAATAAACTGCTCGGTTAGGGTATATGTAAGGAGTGTGTGAGTGTGCAACTGGCTCAAAGAACAAACGGTTTTAGAACTTTGTATTTATTTGTGTTTGGGTTTTTCACTGATTTTTTGCAATATTTGTTTTGGCAACTTTATGAATACAAAAAAAAAAACAAAAAAAAACAGGTAATATACCAAACTTACGAGCTCTCGGAAAGCGAACAACAACAAATAGAGCTAAGGAATTTTGTTATTGCTGTTAGCAGCAGATGCCATTAGCAGCGGAAGCTGCAGCTTGACAAAGAAAATAACAACAAAAAAAACAGAACGGAAAAAAAAGCTCACAGGCTGCAGTCGCTGTCGCTGCCGCTGCCGCTGCCGCGGTCGCAGCCGGCAACAGGTTCAACCCCTAAAAGCAAAAGCTTCGGCTTGTGCGCGTGTGCTTTTTGGCGTGCTGCTCAGCTGAAAGCTGTTTCGCGAGGATGCCAGCAAGAGAAGCGACGCCGACGTCGACGTCGACGCCGACGCTATTCAGCGCGCAGACGTCGCTGCCTGGCCCGGCAGCATTTTGGCCAAAAAGTTTTCAGTGCGCTGTTGTCGCTGCGGTTGGCGCGTCGCTGAAAACAATTCTCTTGCCCACTGTGCAACGTGTTCTCGCAGCTGTTGTTGTTGTCTTGTTCTTGTTCTTGTTGTTGTTGTTTTTGTGCATTTTGGTAACTGTTCAAAACAAATTAGCTGGGTCCTGCGCGCGCGTGTGTGTGTGTGTGTGTGTGTGTGTGTGTGCAATCAGGCTATGCGGCATCGCGGCGAACGTCAGCAACATGACCTAATTTTCAAAGGCGTCCGCCTCAGCCTTTAGCCAGGACAACAACCCACAAAAGCGAATTAATCACAAGAAAAAACAGGCCCTAAATTATATTGATATATACACATATATATATATATATATAGGGTAGTCAACTGGCCACTTGGCGCTTGACTGGCTTCCGCCCTGCGCGCTATTTGGCTGCCCGTTTTCAATTAGCCGTCGCCCCCCCCCCCCCCCCCCCCACTCGCACCTGGCGACATGGAGCTGGTCTGCTATGTGGCGCTCGGCTGCCTGCTGGCGCTGGTCCTGCTCTACGGCCTGCTGGAGCTGCACTATTTCCTGCGCATGTGCCTCTGCGTGCTGCTGGCGCGCTTCGTTAAGCGACGCTGCCACATCCTGGAGACGACCACCGTGAATGGTAGGTTTGCTTTGCCGTGCTCGCCCAGGTGCACACCTAGAATTTACCACACGCTCCTCTTTTGCGGCCAGGTCTGTGTCTGACCAACGATGTGGACACCCTGCTCTACCATATGAACAATGCGCGCTATTTCCGGGAGCTGGACTTTGCTCGCGTTGACTTCTATGAGCGCACCAAGCTGTATCGCACCATAACCAGGCTGGGCGGATCGGTGTTCCAGGGCGCGGCCACCATACGGTATCGTCGTTTCATACGGCCCTTTCATCGCTTCAAGATCATCTCCAGGGTGCGTACAGCAGCTGTCCGGGAGCGGTAGCAATAACTAATTGGAGCTCATTTGCAGATCATCTACTGGGACGAGCAGTCGCTGTTCATGGAGCATCGCTTTGTGCGTCCTGCGGATCAGTTTATACACTGCATCGTCATCTGCCGGCAGCGGGTCATCGATGTCTCCATGGACAGCGTGATGGCCGAGCTGCTGCCCAAGACGGCGGCGACGCCGCTGCAGGCGTCGCGGCATACGCTCAGCTCCACGGCCAGCATGCAGCCGGCGGGCATGGCCCAGGCCCAGGCGATGCAGCTGCCGCAGACCACGCTCGAGGCGGCCCAGGCCGAGAACGGACACGTCGCAACGTCCACGACGACGACGACGGCGTACAGTGTCAAGCTGAAGCCGCCGCTGCCGCCGGAGCTGTGCAAGTGGATCGAGTACAACGACATGTCCAGCAAGAATCTGCGTAGCGGCTGCTGACCGACTGCATCCTCTTCCGCAACTCAACTCAACTCAACTCATTCGCCATGGACTCTGCGGTGCTCGAGCACGGCATTCCGTTTCCGCTTGAACATTTGTTAATTTCTTCTTCTTCTACTCGCGCGTTTTTTTTTAAATAGTTTTTTTTTTTATGTGCGTGTGCAAATGTTGACGAGCGTGCTTTAACCCTAGCCTTAAGTCGGTCTGAATCTGCATCTGTCTGGCCTAGCCCTAAGTGCACCCTAGACGAATCAATGTAATCTCAGCATCCACAGCTATTAACCCATAATTACTTAATGTGTGTGTGCCTATGTGTGTGTGTGTGTGTGTGCGCGCGCTAGTCTAGTAAAAATGTGCTTAGATCTACCAACTTGTAAAATTGCGCGTTTCTCTCTGCTTCAATTCGGGGGTTCAGCACAATTCACAGGCGCCCGAGCAGGGACTCGACAGTGTTGGAAAGTGCTAGATTAGCAAATGCGTGCACGAATGTACCTAAACAATTGTTCTTCATGCGCGCCCGAGCAGGGACTTGCTCTGCTTCAGAAGCAAGCACTCAGAGTCCTGATTGTTTCCAATTCAAAATCCAGTGCTGCAAAGTGCTTGCATTAGATGCAATCAATCATTTATACATGTTAGCTACACCTTGCGCTCAGGCAGGTAACTAACTAACAGCTTAGGGCCAACTCATTGCAAAAGATGATGCAGTGTTGGAAAGTGTGCTTCTAGAACTATTATAGCTGTGTCTAGGATCATCTGGTTTGAGTGCATTTAATTGTCTAACAGGCAATTATAAAGCAACAACAACAACGACGTTACGCCCATTTACTAATTAAACGCATAGTCATACTTATTAGTTAAGCGATAAGGAAGTGAAAAGCTAGCCAAATACGAGACTTTTCGGTTCAACCGAAAATTCCAATAGATCAGCTAGCCTTATTTGCTTATTTCGCTGACCTTAGACCAATTGCATACTGTATACTGTGTTGTAAATGTTCATGTTGAAACCCGTTGAAAGAGCGCAGTGTGAGAAAGTGCGAAGTAAACGAGTTGTTTCCACCAGACGCAAGGCTGAGCTTGGCAACTGTCAACAATGCAAACAAACTGTAAATGGTCAGGCTAACAGTTCACGATGACGCTGGCAATTCCAAAAAAAAACAATAGACAGCACTGTTTGAAATGAATTTGTCGCTTAGTTCTTAAGTGTTAAATGTCAATCGTTGACGATTTGACGATTTGCATGCGCGTCATGTGCCTCAAGTGCTAGCAAACAGTGGAAACGGCTTAGAACAGCGGTAAATCGATTAAATTCAAGTTCAAGTGCAAGTGCTCGCAAAGAGAGACAGAGAGAGGGAGAGAGAGAGCGCGACGAGTGTGCAAAATTGAGATACTCTTCCCACTCGATTATTATTTATTTATTGCATATATTAAGCTTGGTATCTTATATAAAAAAATGGTCATTATCTTATTTTCTTCGTATGAATATTTATTATCTTATCATTGATTTGCTAATCGAATTTTTTTTTTTTAATATTTTTAATACAAGTTGAGTGTGTTTTTAACAGGTAGCAGGCAAATTTGGATTTAGTCCTTATCTATATTATGTATTAAGTGTTTATAGAGAAATTTTTATTGAAAAATTTATAAGATATTTATATTGGCTCGTTTAAACATGTATACACTAATTTAAATAATTTTTGAACAGAATTTGACATATGTATATATTTCTTTTGTGTTTGGTTACTTTTTACAATAATTTTCACTCAACATTTCTTCTTTTTATATACTTATATACTTAATTTAAGCATTTATAAGCGCACGGCCATCGCACCTAATACGCGTAATATATGCAAGCCGATGTACAGCGTGGGGGACTCTCACAAGAACTTGACCGTTTATAATTAGACGTTGAACTTGAGACGCCTGCGTTAAGCATGGCCAGGCCTGAACTTTAAGCCGGGCTGTTGAGCGCACTCGCACGCGCACTCTCTCTGCCTCTCTCTCTCTTTTTTACTCTCTCGTACTTGCTGACTTCAGCTCTGCTGCTGTTGCGCTCTCCCGCTGCGATTGGTCAACTTTCGTTTGGCTTGCAGCTGATTTTGCCAGTGCTGACAGCTGTAGCTGCATTTAATATTGAAAATAGCCAAAAATAGCCAAATGGGCACAAGTTGACTGTAGATAATTCAAATGATTAGCCTAATTAAAAATGGTGGACTAAGTTTTAAGTATTATGCGATAATTATTAGCAACTAGAATTAGCTTAATCACAGCTAGAATTGCCGGCAACTGCACATTGCTGCAGTGATCGCCGGAAACAGCCAAGTGCAGCTAGAAAACAGCTGCATTGCCAACACTGGCGTCGCATCGGCCTGCCGCTTGGCACTTGAGTCAGCTTTTGCTTGGTATCTTTCCTATCAGTTGCCTTCGGTCGCTTGTCGCTGGCAGTTGATCGTCTGCATTGCGTGCCGTTGCCCAATCGCTGATAAATACTATCGAAGTCGCAGCGTTATCGCATTTTTTGGGCTGTAAATCGAGTGTCTACTGTAAGTACTAGAAGCTAGCAGGATAACGATATATATATATATATATATTTTGTACATTTGCATCTAATTGACGACATGCCGCATTCACGAAATAACGGACCAAAGTGAACAAACTTTCGCCACTAACGGGTTTTTTTTTTGTTTTTTTGGTAATTATTTATTTTGTCTGGCAACCCTTTGCAGAGAAAACCTTGCCATCGCCATGTCGCTGCTGGTTGTGCTGTTGATTTTGTACATCATCTGGGATGTTAACTATTTTATACGCTGCGTTTGTACGGTGCTCGCCGGCCGGCTGTTCCAGGGCAAGCGCAAGGTGACAGATGCGACAACGATTTATGGCCTGTGCACCACACAGGATGTGGACATCTTCTTGCGGCACATGAACAATGCGCGCTATTTGCGCGAACTGGACTTTGCCCGCTTCCATTTCTATGGTCTGACCAATCTCTATGAGCTGGTGCGTCAGCGCGGCGGCGGCGCCGTCCAGGGCGCCAGCAGTGTACGGTATCGCCGCACCATACCCATATTCCATCCGTACAAGATCACCACAAAGCTGGTCTGGTGGGACGATAAGGCCATCTATTTGGAGCAACAGTTTATCACACTGGCCGATGGCTTTGTGCGCGCCGTTGCCCTCTCCAAGCAGTGCATCACCAATTGCAATGTCAGCGATGTGCTCAAGACGTATCCGGAGGCGGCCAAGCGGCCGGAGATGCCCGACGATTTGAAGCTCTGGCTGGAGGCCATCGAGGTATCCAGCCAAAAGTTGCGCAAAGACAAATGAGTTCCAGAAAATGACTCGTTAGCTTCTCTGCTCAAGCGCAACTCGCTCTCACCCACTCTCCCTCTCTCTATCGCTCTCTCTCTCATTCTCGCTTCTTTCATCATTACTTTAGTTTCTTTGCTTTCATTTTTCTTTGACTATATTTTTTTTTCATTTGCATAAATAAAGAAATTTGTTTTGTATGAGGCTAAGAAATGTGAATTTGAACTTCAACAATAGCGTAACGTCATCTTACGTTACGTAACGCCTGAACGTCACGTAAGCGAATTACGCACAGTAGCTGTGCTGTTCCTTGTTCGAAATGCATTACCCAACACACACAACGTTCCTAGTTGCGCGACGTAATAATAATACGTAATCAGCTGTGTGTTACGTTACCGTAATTTTGTGCGTACCGTTAGCGTAAGCTCACGCACATGTGCCCAGCTGTTTGGCAAGCTTTGAAGCTGCAACGTTTTTTCGCACAAATACAATAAATAAATAAATATTGGCTAAAAATAAAATACGTAATCGCTTTTGCGTTATTTTCACGAACTTGAGTCGTTTGTTAGGTTATGCAGCAGCTAATAAGCGCAGCTTTCACTTACATCATTAAATCAATGTTTCAAATGTTTCCATAAATGAACATTAGTTATTATGACATAGGTTAGATACCCTGTGCATTGGGAAATGCTTGAAAGAGGCTGCCTAACTCAACTCTATTGTCTTTACATAACATATATATTATATTTTAGCATAAAAAACAATATTTTTAAAGGAATCATTTAGTATTGTATAAAAATGTTTAATGGAAGGCAAAAAAGTGCTACATGTATACCGCATATGCTGATGTTTTTGAATACAGGGTATGCTCAAGTCGGCTACCTTTCGTTTGACGAGTTTAATTTATGACAAAGCTAATACGTTATTTTAATTGGTTTGCTTAAGAAATCTATTGAATGCACCCCACAAAACGCATTGCATAAGAACTTTAAGCTTATGTCAAACCAAGCTTTTGCAGCTTTTGCAGCTAGTTAAAGCTTTAAGCTTCTACAGCAAAAGTTGCGCCACAATTTCGAATAGTCATTGACTGAGTGAAAAATGCGGCCCCTTTTGTTAACTTTTCTAGTGCCTGTTGCATAATATAAATAAAACATATTCCATTTATTTTTTTAGTTTGCTTAATAAGTTAATTTAAATCGTTTCTTCTATTAATATAGAGCATAGTTATCTGATGTATATATACAAGAGCTTTCTACAGGGTATCTTCTGGGCGAATATTTGATGCTTTTCAATGCTCTTGTTTATAAGAAATGTCTTAAATTGGAGCTATAGTTTTTGGCGTGTGGCTGCACCATATTTTGCTCATGTTTTTAAGTCCTGCACCCTTGAAATTTGGATAGGAAGGGTATAATGAATCTGTAAAGCTTGCATCTAGTTTTGATTAGCATCAACAGTCGACTTGATCTAAAAGAATGTGTATATACCAGCTTTGCATGCAGTATGTAAGCCTACGAATCTTGTGCTTTGGCATGCCATGTTCAAGTTCTGAAAATTTCATAAAGATCGGACAATAAAGGTCGAAGTTATTCAAGAATGCATTTCTCACAGTGTGTGGGGCAGCGGAGAGAAGAAGCAGAGTCGTGAGTGTCTGTGAGCATGTGTTTGTATGTGTCTGTGTGGGTGGGTATGCTTACAGGCAAGCGAGCATGTTTGCTAGGGTATTTTGCAGTCGTACCCCCACGCGATCGGTCTACTCTTGCTTTCTGATAATTTATGCACGTTGTTCACAGAGCGTATGCGCGATTTTACTTTTATAGCTTCTTAATTTGTGCAGCGCCTGAAATGGGCCATAAAATCAGCGAGCATTTTGTAGAATTGTGTTTTTTAGGCCTTTGCTTATTTGTTGGTTCTTTCGTTTTGCTCCGCTCTTTGTTATTTGCTGTTGTTGTTGTTGTAAGTATTTTGAAATGTGGATCAAAACGTGACACTGAAATCTAAACATAAATCTCATTCATAAGTATGCAGGCCGCGCGTTCGCATGAAGAGACGGAAGAGCGGGAGAGAGCGTGAGCGAGAGCGGGAGAGTGGAGAGTGTAGAATGTGATTGCATTAGCGCGCCCCGCCAAAGGCCCCCTCTGCCCAGCAGCATGCTGCCGCAGCAGCTGCATGCGGACAACGACAACAACAGCAACAGCAATAACAGTAACAACAACATTTTTGCTGTTCGTTTTTGTCGCTCGTGTGCGCCAGCTTCGGCTCGGGATTTGCGACTATTTTTAACGGCAACTGCGGAGAATTTTCAGTTTTCAGTTTATTTTGAACAGCCGCTGCGAGCGCATAGAACAGCAGCAGCAGCAGCACGCGACGAGCTGCATCAAAAAATAGCAGTAAAAAATAGAAAAAGAAAACATTTTCAAAATAAAACAACGCAACGAACTGAAAAACTAAAATTTAAAAAAAAAAATCAAAAAAACAAAAAAAATTTAACAAAAATCGGTTTATTTTTTTTTTGCTGTGCAAACCAGCGATACAGTGTTGTAAATTGTCGAAAGAAATAAATATTGAAAATTGTAAAAATATTGTAATTTTTTGTTGTTGTGCGCGCGTGTGCTGAGTGTTTTTTTTTGTTAGAGCCAAAAGTGTTTGCAATATCGGGCGTCGGAGCATTATAATAAAGTACGTATATATATATGTATATATATATACTATATATATCTGAAGAAAGACAACGATTATAAAGCATGTGCCTATATATATATCAAGTATTAACCTACGCCCAGTTTCAAGCTGTTTATTATTATTGTTATTATTATTATTATTATTTTGATGAGCTTTAAGTTATTCGATCCATAGACGCTCGCCAGACTCTATGCATGGGGTGGGGCGAGGGCAGGGCGAGGGCAGGGCGGGCGCAGGGCCTCTATTATGCACAACAATAACAAAATCGCAGCTAGCGCAGTTTATTGACAGCAGCAACAACAACAACAACAACAACAACAACAACAACAACAACAACAACAGCAACAACAGCAACAACAACGACGACAGCAACAGTTGCCGCCGCACAAAACCAGATTCGAACAACTCGAAGTAATTTGCAACTGAAAAGAAATGCCGCAAAAGGGGGGGGGGGTGGGGAGGGGTGGGGGGTTGACTGAAAACAAACTCAAAGCCGGATAGATGCATAGATTGGCCCCTTTAACTGAATGCCCCGCTTCAAGTGTCCCGCAACCCGCCCCGCCTGCAAAAGACACTCGGCGCAAAAAGAGAAAACTTTTCGTAAACGCGACACTTTGCACAACAATAACAACAACAACAACAACGACAGCAACAACAACAACAACAACGACAGCAACAACGTTTGGCGTCTGGTCAAGCGTCAGTGAAAATGCTTGAAAATGTTGTCTTTGGGCCAACAGTTGTCTGGCCATGAAAATGTACAGCAGCGGCATTTGCAACAGCAACATAGATGTTGCCTTTCTCCCCTGTTCCCAACAGCAATAGCAGCAGCTGTTGGTATTACATTAGCAATGCAAGCAGCAACAGCAACAATATTTGCAATAGTTGCCACAGCAATTGACTTAGTAAAGAACTCCCTGCTGCCCCCCATAGACAGTCAAAGGTACGAGCACTGCAGCAATAGTTGCAATAGTTACACCAGCAACATGAGCAGCAACACCAACAGCAATTGCTTTAGTCGCGCATCATCCTTTCGAAGCAGCAACATATCTAATAAAAAGATACAATCACAGCAGCAATATTTGCAGTAGATACAACAGCAACAGTTGCTTTAGTCCCGCGCTCTTATGAACTGTCAGCTTCCCCTTGCACAACAGCAACATAAGCAGTAAAAGCTACAATCACAGCAGCAATACTTACAATTTATTGTCTTAATCTGTGCTCGTCCTTTCACAGCAGCAACATTGCCAATTTAAGGTGCAAACACAGCAGCAATATTTACAATAGAAGCGACATCAACAGCAACAGCAACACTAGCAGCAATTGTCTAAGTGTTCTGTGTGTTTTTCCTTTCACAGCAGCAACAACGACAATAGAGACAGCGGCAATAGTTGCTCTAACAGCAACAACAACTGCAATTGTGTTAGCTCCGCGCTCACAAGAACTGGCTTCGCCTGCTTTCGCAGCAGCATAAACAGCAGCAACATAAGCAATAAAGGGAGAAAACACAGCAGCTATATTTGCAATAGTTGCATCAGCAATAGCAACATCATCTTCCAACAAATGCCTGCTACGCTTCCTGCAACATCACCAATATGAACAATAGAAGCAATAGCAACTGCAGCAACAAAAACATCCCATAACCATTTTGCAAGAGCAACAACTGCAGCAACAGCTCCTGCAGCAACAGCAACATTTGCAATTGAAGCAACAGCAGCAACTATTCTTCTTATCCCCTCTTCCTACCATACAGTACCTTCGCACTTCCCTTGCTTCCTCACAACCGCAACAACAGCAACATAAGCATTAGATAACATTAAATTGAAGCAACAGCAGCAACTGTTCTTCTTACTAACCTCCAATCTCAACAACAGCAACATCTGCAGCAAAATTGACAACATCAGCAACACTCTTCTTACCACGCCTCTGCTACACACACCCTTTGCTTCCGCTTTGCCTATTTACAACAGCAACATTGCCAACAGCAGCAACATTAGCAATTGCAGCAACAGCAGCCGCAACTAGCACAACAACAGCAACATTGGCTCAAGCCTGACACTACGCGCTACCCACAAGCTCCTCGGTTATGATTTTTTGCAACAGCAACACTAGCATTTTCCAAGAGCAACACCTGCAACAGCAGCAACATGAGCAATAGATTCAGCAGCAGCAACAGCAAGATCAGATCATCTCGGGCTGGCAGCTGGCACAGGCCACATCTGTATGTCACTCCCCCCCACTCACCCAGCTCCCCTCTCCCATTCCCTTGTCTCGGGCAGACATCTAGCTAACCCTTTGCTAGCTTTGGCTGCTTAGACCTATGAACTGGGCAGAGGCATTTGGGCAAATGGGCAATTTCCCAATGTGCACATAAATCACTCTCGCACATCCGCACACACACACACACAGAGCCAGCTAGTGGTATTTGAAGTGGGCAGCGGCTGTGGGCGTGGCCCAGCGCACAAGTAAATCGCAAATTTCCA